GCTCGTCCCCCTTGGCCGACTTCTTCAGCTGCCCCCTGATCCCGCTCACGGTTCTCACCGCCGCACCTTCGAACTTGGCAACCTGGCGCCGCCACAATACCGTCGAATTCAAACAGACAAAAAAAAAGCGGGGGGGGGGCGGGGGGGGGCGGCAGTGGGATGGGACGGAGGGAGACAGAGACAAGACGGGTTGCAGGGGGTCGGGGCGGAGCCGGGAGCGACGTTGCACGCGGACGGTTTTTTTTTTTTTCTCCCAGCGAAAAGGTCGGGTTCGTAGTCGAGGGAACACCTAGGAGCGGTGTATCCGCAAGCGGCGCCGAGCCTGGCTAGCCGACGTAGCACGGCGTGAGGATGACGCTACAAGACGAGCCTCCCAATCGCAATGAAGTAGACCCGGACCAACACTGTGGGGGAAAAGCCCCAGATAAGGGAGCGGGGCAACACAGAGCACAAGCATAAATAGATCAAACCCAAACACACGTTTGAGCACACGAAAGCGTGAGAGTTGAAGAGGGAAAAACAACACAAAACCGAAACCAAAAGCGGATGCACATGTTACTCGACAACACAGACCACGAAAAGTGTGAAACGACTACTCGAGGGCGTGCGAAAGCATTGCCTAGGCTGCGGTACCTCCAGGTCCGAGTTGAACATGCCCTTGATGAAGGCCGTCTTCTTGAAGATCTTGTCCGGGTACCCCACGAGCTTGAGCTTCTTCACCACCTCAAACTTGGCGTCAAGCTCGAGGGCGGTGCCAGTCAGGGCTACTCGGAACCCTAAATCGGTTGATCGAGAACGCGAGGCAGTCCGATTCGGAGCGTCAGCAAACATCATTCAAGCCAAGTGGCACGCACCTTAAACAACTACCATACATATTTGTTGCATCAGCCGCCGTCGTGCTGTGGTAGTCGATCATGAAAAAAACATTATGGCCGCAACAAACGGGTCTCTTGGATGTACTGAGGAAGGGTCGGACGGGACGCTGTGAGGCGGAACACAAAATGAACAATAATAATACAACAGAAAATAAACAAAATGGTTGAGCTTTGGCTCACACGGTGGTACACTTCTTGCACGTTCTTATTTGGCCTGACTGATACCACACTTGCGTGTGGCGGCGTTCTCTAGTCGCACCCCTCGTACGCTCGACGCCAGATTGTTCGTCATCGACCTCCCCGCATTCATCAGAGTCTGATACCCCCATGTTCAACAACGTGCCATGCCTGCTCTACCCATGCTCGTTTTCTGGCGGGGCATTCTACATGTAGACCCAACAAAAAAGTGCACAAAGATAAGAAAGGCGCCACGCAGCAAAAGCGCTCGGGCTGAGAGCAGCGCACGGCACAATCACAACCCCCCAAAAAAACAACAGTTAGTTACACCCCAAGGACAACCCCCGTCTGCGACTCTCACCTGTTGCGGTGTTCCCCATGCTCTGGAAGGCCATGATGCCCGTGTTTTGCGGGATGATCGGTCCGTAAAAGTAACAGAAGCAGTGCATGTGCTCGGGAGTGTACTTGAGGTACCTTCGAAACGATTCGTTCGGGGCAGGAGGGCACAAGACAGACGGCACGAAACTTAAACACACATGCACGAGTCAACTCCAGAAAAACTCCCGAACACAAGCGCCTGGTCACGAGTTACTGCGTGCAAGAAAAAAAAAACTGGAACGTCGTCGCGTGAAGAGGAACCAGAGCCAACGAAAACCAAGGTGCTGTCATGTGTCAAGACCCCCTTAACTAAGAGGCTTCAACTCTGCCCTCTGCTCTACCCGGTTGCCCCTCCTGGCAGTAGAGCCCAACGGACCACAACCTCTCGAGAACGGAGAATCCCACGGAAGCGACACGGAAGCCCGCCAACGACAGCAACACGGCTTTTGCCGACCTCGACGCCAGCACTCTCGAGAAAAACCCACAGCGGAGAAGGCTTCCTTCGCTCTAACGGGCTCAAATAAAAGTAATGTTTTGCCCCGTCCCGTGGTGTCCACTGCTGTGGCATCCTCGGCTGCCATACAAGGCCGCCACGCCCAGGCGTGGGGCCGAACCCACCGTCGCCGACCCCCTGAATGCTGCAGTGCTTGTTGCCGGCACCGTGCGCGGAACGCATGCATGAAATAGCATAGAAGGAGCCAGATTTGCGTGTACCATCCACACAACACAGAAAATACCGCCAAGGCCCAGAATCTATAACCACCCACCCTCACCTCAAAACAAGAGAAAATCGCATGAAAACAAACACCGAAATCGTATCAAAAACACACCTCCATCGACAACCGTGCAAAAAAAAAGAAAAACGTGCAAAAAAAAAGAAACCAAACACACACACACAAACACAAGCACGCATGATAAATTACCGTTGTCGCTCGTTGGGGTCCTCGGTGGCGAAGACCGGCTGCGTCTGGAACCTCCTCCACCCGGCCGACACGACCAGGGGGTCGTTGCTCTTGAGGGTCTTGCCGTGCCACCGGTGCCGCTTCGCCCGCGTCCGCACCATGGCCAGGCCCTCCTCCGCCGCCATCAGGCCCCCGACGATCACGGGGTTCTCCGGCCTTTGGGTATGTCGGTTCGATCGGGATATGTCCGTTCGAATCGCGTCGGTTCGGGTCGGGTTCGGGTATAGATTGGAAAAGAGGTCAGTTGCGAGCCAAGTCGCAAATCGGGATTTGGGTGTGGGTTGGAAAAAAAAAATCCAGGTCAGTTGTGACATGCGAAATCAACAAGTTGAGCCGGGGAGCGGAAGCAGTAATGTCACGCTCAAGTTTCGAGTCGCGGAGCCCCTCAACTGCCTTGGCAAGTCCATTGCTTTGGGTGTGTGGCTTTCGTATGCAAGATGTGGTGCGGAACAGCCTATGGAAACGTTGTTGGCCTTCGTCCTGCACTGCCGCAGCCTTACAGCAAGGGCCATCGGAGGGAAAACACCCCTCCCCACGCATGGCAACACACCTGAAGTTGGTGACGAACTCTGCGGGTAGGGCTTTGAACCGGATCCGCACGTAACGCCCCTGTGGAAAACCCCTGATTCGGAGTTGCGCCGCGTCCCCCATGTCCTCGAACTCTTTGCGGTTTCGGGTCTGGTCCGACGCGACAGACAAAAACAATTAGGGCGGCGGGGGGTTACGCGGAATGGAGGGCACGGGCTATGAATTGCGAGCAAAATGGCCGACACAGAATGGGACGCGCAAAGCGCGAAAAAAACGTCAAGTCGAGCGGCTGCTGGTACCGTCTCTCTGCCTGCCTGAGGCCCCCCGTGTGTGTCTATCACAAGGCAGGGGTGGCGTCACAGACACGACCTTCTCGGCGCGGATTCCCACAAAAAGTCTAAAAGTGTTCCGCCCCCTCACACACACCACCGTCGACATCGGTACCGAAATGAGCACATCAAAGCGGATCCTCGACCTTGTGCGTTCATCATCAAACTCTCAACATAGCAGACACGCTCATCAGCACACACACAGATTTCGACACATAGTTCGGGACTCAAACACACCAACGACAACGACGATAACGACGACGACGATCGCGGCGGCCGCGGCGGCGGCGGCGGCGGCGGAGGAAAACGCCTACCTGTTGATCCTCCCTGCGCTTGGTGGCTTCTCTCAGGAACTCGTCGTCGTCTTCGATTTCCTCCCCGTTGGCGTCCAGCCTCTTCTTCTTCTCTCCTCCCCCTCCTCCTCCCTCTTCGTCCTCGTCGCCCTCCTCACCCTGGTTCATTGCGAAAAAAGACAACGTATTCAGGAGGGAGTTGGAGAGTTACGGGCATTCCGACGATACCCGGAGCTAGTCGAAGCGCGAGATGTTGACAGGGGAGGGGGGGCAGAAGCATTTCCGCACAAAAGGGGTCGTGCGAATGCAAGTTAAAAGTGAATGGGTTGTGTGCAAGGCGGGCAACGAGGGCACACATGAAGGATACACAAGTAGACTAATAGCACCGCCGCAAGATCTCTGTGAAAGTTGAGAGTACGATGGGGTCGAAGGCCAAACATAACCCCGAAAAAACTATCCAGAGCAGGCACCCGACGCTGAAATAAAAAAAAAATGGTGAGTTGGGTTGGACAAAAAAAAGTATCGGTTCGTCGCGGGCGAAACGTTAACGTTTCGCTTCAACCAAACCGGCAACCTGCAGGTAAATCCAAATTACCATAAAAACACGGAAGAAGGAGGCATTGGCATCTGCAAACTACAGCGCCAGCGCCAACGACAGCAACAGAACCCACCGCACCCACCTCGTCCTTGGAGGCCATTGCTTCGGCTTTCAGTCGAGCGTTCTTCTCACGCTCGGTCTCCATACCATTCTCCTCGTCTCCGTCGTCATCGTCATCGCTGTCATCGCTGTCTTCAGCACCGGGTCCGAACTTGTCCCTGTGGATGACGGCACATGAACGTTGATTGAGCAAGACATTCGATAGGGCTCAACTGTTCCAATGCAAGGGGGGGGGGCTACCCCTGTCCGACACTTGTCCGAATTGCCGCGGATACTCACCTTTTCACCCCTCGGTCTCTCTGTCTCTCTCTGTCTCTCTCTCTCTCTCTGTGTCTCTCTCTGTCTCTCTGTCTCTCTGTCTCTCTCGCTAATATATATAATATTTCTCTCTCCCCCCCCCCGGTTACACGTTCACGTACGTGCTTGCACCGCTACCACCGCTACCACCGGACGGCGTCATTGCGGCCCCTCTGGGCTTAGATAACAAAAACGACCCCCCCTACCTCGTAACTCCTCCTCCTCCCTGACCAACAAAACAATAACAACTTCCACCTACCCGGTCTGCAGATCCTCGAAATCTCCGTAGACCTCGGAGTCGTCGTCGTCGCCGTCGCCATCGTCTCCGTCGCCTGCCCCGCCGCCTCCGGCACCGTTCGCTCCGGCCCCGGACCCCCAGTCACCGGTGACGAATCTGCACAAAAAGAGACAAAAAAAATGGCCGTTCTTGTGATCGCTCTTGGGTGCTTATCCTCTTCGTCGAGAGGTTTGGCGGTGCACGACAGTCAGGAAAGATGATCATCCGGACCTGAACCACCAACGCTGTGGCAGTGGCGGCGGTGGCCGTCGTATTCTCTGCCGCAAGTTGGGGACGTCGTTTCTGTTGTCGCTAACGATTGGGGACGTGGACATCTTCGATGTTTGTTCAGCTCACGGCTCCAAAAGGCTGCATCTCTGGCCTTTTTCCGTTCCCCGCCAAGAGAGTAACGACAACCTCAGCTCTACCATTGTTACCTGTGAGGCGAAGCACGCGCATCCTGACGAAACACCAAAGCGACAATCCCAGTACTGCTCAGCGTGCTCGGCCAGGGAACGCAACAACCAACACGCCCAATCTCACTTGTTTCGTATAGCTTCGATCGCGCAGTCGTCCCCGGTCCCCTCCCAGTCGTCCAACGCCTCCCGGTCCGGGTAAAACTTGGACCGGTCCCCGCCCCCGACGCCACCCCCCCCGTCCTCGTCGTCGTCGTCATCCTCCGATTCGGCGTCGCCCCCACCGGAGGAAGAATGGCCTCGCCTCTTGCTACCCTTGTTCCCACCGCCGCGTATGGTGAAGAAGTCATCGTCTTGCTCCTGATCTCCGCCTTCTTCCTCGGATGCCGAGTCCTCCCCTTCCTGCGGAACATAGGAGAAGGTTTTGTTTGTTTTAGGTACGGGTTGTGTGTCCCGAACGAGCGTCAACAATGCGGCGTCACGCTGTCATCCAGGGATACGCTGCGCTACTGGGCTGGCGCGGGTGCCGACTGTGCCTAACGTGAGTTCGGTCCTGACGTTTGGGCGGAACCGAACGGTCTTATCCATGTCTGGCTGTAGCTGCGTTGGCACACACGAGACACCCAATCCAACCTCAGTCGTAAAAAAACAACAACAAAAAATGACGATGACGACGACCACGAGAACGTAAGAAGCAATAGCAAGAAGCACCAACGTCAACAACCGCATCCTCTAACAACAACAACAACAACAACAACAACAGTAAGCAGCAACAAACAAGCAACAACAACAGTAAGCAGCAACAAGAAAGCAACATGCAACAACAGCTGTGCACCTTGGCCGCGTTGTCCTGGCCGCCTCTCCCCGGCCTGCCGTACACCAGGTCTTGGAGGTTCACGTTCTGGGACTTCCTCTGCAAGAACCTCTCCGCCGCTCTCGTCGCCATGCCGCTCTTCCACGCCTGGCTCACGCCACCGTTCTCGTCTACATCGTCATCGTCCTCAGACATGGAGCCGTCGGAGTCGTCTGATACCACAAAGAGGAACAGAGCAAGCGCGTGGGGGTGAACGAAGGCACGCACACGTGCAATGGCGTGTGTGAACCGATCGCATCCACTGGTGTGTCCCCTCTACCGACATCGACATCGCCACGAAAAAAAACTGCTCCTCATTTTCACGTACAACACAATCGCGAGGCCCCGGCAGTGATATGTGGGGGCGGCAGGGGGACGGGGGCTGGATGAACTAGAGGACGAACGCAGATTGAAACGCCGCAGCGTAGGGGCAAAGGGGGGAAGGGATCGACCACTTCCGAAGACGGGGGGAATACAACGGCGTCAATCGTTGGATTGTGCAACCACGGGCCTCCTCTTGCAAAATATTGATTTGTGGATGTGCACCTCGACGTTTCCGACGCATTGTTTTCCTGCCAACAAACAACAACGAACGTCCTCTCATGTTGTTGCTACGTTTTCACATCAAACGTTCCGTGCGCGTAAGTTCGTTTTTTTTTCCTTCACGCCTTCATGATCGCCCCCTGCAAGCTGCTTCCGCATTAAACCCACTCCAAGACAGAAGTGCACCTACAAACAACACATCGGACTCCACCATGAAAAAGGTGAAAACCGAGCTGGGTTCTCGACGTGCTAAGGGCCTGCTACGCAAAGAGTCACAAACGAGGGGCGGGCTAAGTGTTTGCGACATAGTACGTGTTGTCCTACGCACACTTTCTCGCCCCTTCCTCTTCGCACGCCTGTTCCATACCGCCGTCCTCGTGCCCCAAACCAGGCCGGGACCCCGTCTACTGCACCTCCCTCATCACGGCACGATTCCCAACGACAAATAACTGTACCCCAACAAACACTCAATGTATTTCTTCTTTCAGGGAAAAAATGAAGAGAGACTGCAGAGAGAGAGAGAGAGAGAGAGAGAGAGAGAGAGAGAGAGAGAGAGAGGAACAGAGAGAGAAACAGATTATTCTCTAATCTTTAAAAAATACCTAATCTATTGCACAGAGCGCAAGGAGTGCTGACGCAAACACACCTTCTTCGTCGCGGCCGTCCTCTCCGCGCCCTGTGACGTCATCGTCGTCGAATAGCGCCCTTCGACGAGTCCTGCCGCCCCCCGACCCTCCGGGGGACGCAGCCACCCTCTCCTCCCTCGGCATCTTGATATTCTTCCGCTTCTTGACGCCGTTGCCCTCGTCTTCGTCGACAGACATGGCGCCGCCGTCAGAACTTCCGTCGGAACCCTCCTCAGAACTTTCCTCAGAGCTTTCTTCCTCCCCAGAGCTTTCTTCCCCCTCATCCTCGTCTTCGGAGCTCTCTTCCTCCGAGCCATCACCACCGTCGTCAGCCTCCTCCTCCTCCGCCGCGGCGGCAGCAGCAGCTCTAGCCGCTGCCATGCTAGCCTCCTCCCCGGAGACGCCCTTCCGCCCGCCCTTCCTCCCGCCGAACAGCTTGAGCTCGCTCGCCCCCATCTTTTCGTCAACGGCCGACCTCACGTCCTGTAGCTCGCGCAGCAGTCTCGAAGAGTCTTTCGCGTCGAAGTCTCCTCCCCCCTGCGGCAACACGTTCGATGTGGGCGGGGGGGGGGGGTTACCGAGACAAAAAAAAAAAGCACGACGCGCAGAAAGCGTGCAAGGGTCGGAGAAAGAACAGGGGCTGTCATGACCATTGCATTCCTCGTCGTGTAGAAGCTCCCCAAACAGGAGACGGCGGAACTATGGATTGGCCCGGTCTGTTTTGGGGTCCCTCAAGCGCGTATTGCTGACCAAGGAGATGCGAATGTATCATGATCAAAACTTCCACGCCAGGGTGCAAAATTAGCAAGCGACCTTGGCTTCCAAACCACTGGCCCGCTTCATCTGAACAGAACAACCAAGGCCACACGACGAGCACACCGCTTCTTCTCTTCACGCTACCACTCCCCGCCCCAACCATGACGAGAGATGGTGTTTACTGTGAGAAAAAACACTCCAAACGACAGCAAACAACTCCCCGACACAAGCTCAGAACGACTCAACGCTCGCATAGCTGCATGTCTCTCACCCCCTCCTCATATTCATCGTCGCCATCATCCTCTTCCTCCTCCTCGCTGCCGCTGCCACCCCCCCCTCCCGCCGCCTCCGCCGCCCCGTCCTCCAGCAGGAGGTTCTCCTTGCGCGTGTAGTTGGCCCTCCCGATGTCGATGTACATGGCGTCTTGGTCGATCACGACGGAGCCGATGTTTGCCAGCGGCGCGTACAGCTGGCTCTCCTTCTTGTTCAGGCTCCTGTGACGCCATGCCGTAGTTTTTCGCCGCACATTTTTGGGGGGGCGCATGTGGGCGTTAGGGCGGGCGGATGGAAGGTGTTGCTAGCAGCTACCGGGTCCCAGCACGAGGTCCCGCCCTATCTGTTCACCATCGCCTTTCCCAACAAACACAAACCATGGAAGAAAAAGCGCCGACCAATACATCAACCACGAATACGAGCAAAGAAAGACGACACAGACGAAGAACAGATAGACACGCCCCCAGGCGACGGCTCGCACAGAAAACCCCAGATTCCACCGAAGAAGGAGAACAACAGCGCGCTTACCGGTTCGCCACCTTCTCCTTGGTAGGGAGGGGGCAGGGGTCCTGGAGGGCGGACACCTCCGCCATGCCGAAGTCGCCCGCGCCAATCACGTGCACGCGCTGCCCGGCCTTGAGGTGTGTGCCCCTCACGTAGCCAAACACGGCGACTTCTCGATCGCAAGTCGGATCCTCCAAAACCTGCCGAGAAAAAACACAAAACAAGGTACGACGGGACAGCCGTGTGCGTTAAGAGACCCCGCTGGGTGCGGGGAAAACGGGAAGAATACAATCTTCCCTGTGCTCGAACTGGAAGCGTCCTTGCTCTTCATGCGGCTTATTGTCGCACACGAACCCCGCATGTCTCGAATCCGTAGCCACCGGTGCCAGCCACTCCCCCTTTTCCGTGCTGTCGTACATAGCACCCACGTACTTTGGGATTGTCAACCCGTCGACCGACCTCCCGTCACCACTTTCACCGTGCTCTCCAAACCTCTGTGAGCGTACCTACGAACGCCGCGACTACCCCGACAAAGTAAATAGAAAAATACAAAAAAATGAAGTACACACGGTGTTTTTCGCGGCGGCAAACAACGTCGTTGAGTCCTTCCCGAAACAAAACAAAAAACGGAAACAAAAACAAACAAACTATGAGTACACATTTACGACGGAACTCAACGTGCCAGCGGTCCCCCCGCGATAACCTCCTGTCCACCTCCTACGCCTTCGGGCTGTTGCACGCACGGAACAAATGCATAGAAACGTTTTTTTCTCCGAGAAGCTTCCTTGCTCTGAGTATTCGCCCGACTCGTCCAGCAGCACACACAAGGTCGAGACCACCATCGCCGCAAAAACGAACGAAAAACGAACCTTCTGAGGGTAAGTAACGAATCTTCTGAGGGTAAGCAACGCACCTTCTGAGGGTAACCAACGAACGCTCTGAAGGGTAAGTAACGAACCTTCTGAGGGTAACCAACGAACGCTCTGAAGGGTAAGTAACGAACCTTCTGAGGGTAAGTGATGTCCTCGTAGCGGTCGACGACCACGTAAGGGTGTGTGTTGCGCCAGCGCAAGGGTCGGAACTTGGTGCGAGACAGGTACAGCGCGATGTTCCGCACCTTGTGGTGGCGAGCACGAAACACGGGGCGCGGCCACAAGGGCGAAGAGAGAGGAAGTCGTTAAAGACAGGACGCAGTCTGACTGGGTGAGTGCGTGGTAGGAGGGGGGGTGCGATGGCGGGGAGAGGGTCGGTAGGGAAGATCGGGTGAGGAAGCGAAACGAATCACAACATCAAGCGACCACTAAAGCCAATAATTTTCGGTTCTCCTACCACGTGATCAATGGACACGTACGGCAACACCTGACACTCGCGTCGTCCGAAACATGCCCACACGAGTCGAAACCCTTAGGGGAGACGTGTCAACGGATATTGACGCTAGCGTTTCCCTATGCCATCGGCATGTTGTTTCCTTGAACCAGACCGACCGGCTAGCTAACAAACGCCAACAACCGCTAGCAGGCGTGATCCTCACACTCATCATAGAAAGGTCAAGACTGGTGGGATAGTCTTGGAACACTTCCGCACTGACATTTTCGCAACACCCCACCCTTTCGCATTTGACCCATGCATACTCGCAACACTTCCGCGATGACGAAAACGGACAAACCGGACGTGGACACACCTCTGTCTTGGGGTACTTTCCGTTTATCTCGCCGCCCATTCCGAACACCTTTGCCCCGTTGTACACCTGTGGTCGAACGGACGCGTGCATCCTATTCTCCGTGAGGCTTCAACACACCAACAACACCGCCGTAACGGTCACGCCTGGGCGCTCGAGATAAGGAAGCTACACACGTCGTCGTCACGGTAGACGAGGGCAGCTTTCGTGCGTAGGACAAAAAGAGGTACACACAAAGAAGGTGTCTCCGCGCCCTTCGACGTGAGTGACACGAGAGACCCCACCAAGGAGACGAGCATCGAATCACGGAACAAGAAGTAAATAACACCCACGATATTTTGTTGCTGCGCAACAACGACGACAAAACACAGGCAACAGCAGCACCAACCTCGGTCCAGAACCTCGTCTTGAGTTTTTTCTTGGTGGCCCGGAGAGCCTTGACGTTGTCGAAGCGGTCCAGGTGGGTGAGGACGCACATCACCTTGGGAAACCCGTGCACTTGCAGTATGTTGAGGAACTCGAACGTCTCCATCTCGAACCCGAAGCTGTCGAGAGAGAGAGAGAAAGAGAGAGGTGACGACAAAGGGCCGTGGAAGGAAGACGGCGTGAGCACACGGGTATGGCCAAATGCCGGCATTGGTGCGGCCGCCACCGCTGCTGCTGTTGCGCTGAATTCCGCCGCCATTTCGTCAACGCCTGCTGGAAGGCTTTACCACAACCTGAACGAGCAAGACTCGGCTGAAAACGGCACCCAAGGTAAAGAGGCGAGCTAGAAGGTATAGCCAGCCTTAGGAGGTTCCTGGGGCGGTTGCGAGAAGGACATACAACACACCTGCTTCTTCATTCAAGCTCACAACCATCGTTCCTGCTCCACACGGCGTAGGCACAAGACTGCATTAATCGCTCTATTCGCTCGTTCGCTCGAAATACCAACCCCACCATGCGTTGTCAAAGAGCCCAGGCACCTTCGCAGCGCAGACAACGCAGTACATATGCACACCTCAACCCATCCCGACCGCAACACTAGCGAATGACACGCCAACAACTCCTGCTAGCTGTGCGCTCGCCCCTCCCGTCCAGTCGACTATCGAACTTCACCACCGCCACCGACGCCAGCAACAACAAACGACCACTTCTACTACTTGCGACCATGACGCCGACGAACCAAGGCCACCGGACGACTACTGTAGCAACACCGGTGTGGTGTCCGTCCGCGAAAAAGTTCAGCGTGTCGTTTCGTATCACCATGAGGTGTGTTACTGCGCGCTTCTTCTGCTCCGCTCACCTGCCATCCACGACGAGGAGAACGAGGTCCGCCACCTTGGCGAGGTCCACCATGCCGCAGAGGTCGTCGGGGCACTCCTGGAAGGTTATCCTCCTGTTCTTGCCGCTCACCACCGTGATCGGACCCGTCGACTCCTTCAGGTTATGCCCTGCGAACGAGCGCGCGAGAACCCCCCCGACCACCAACACTACTATTAGTCAAATGGTAGAGCGTGGTGCTAAGCACCGGACGCCTTGGTGCAGGCAAATGAGGAAGAATACCGGGGGGTGTTGACCGACATGCGCGGTCGGCGCTAGAGGATCCTACACGCCTCGCCCCGCCGAGATTCCCCGTTCCCCGACACCCCGCCACCAATCAGCGACGCCGTGCGATGAACAGTTCGAGAGAGAGAGAGAGAGAGAGCGATAACCGCGTCGAAATAGACGGTCATGAAAGGACCAACCGTCCCCGTTCTCCCGCTAACGCTCCTAACCCCCTGCATCCTTAGGCTCCAACAATCACCGGTCCTCTTCGCCTTCGCACGAGCGCAATATCGGAAAAGAAGCTTGTTCGCACAGCGGGTAAACCAACGAGGTGCTCTCGACTCAAAACACGCGAGCGACAGAAAACGCGGAACCCAGCACAATAACCTTCCGCACTAGGCGGCGGAAGCGCGGCAACGCCCCGACCAACCGCTTCAACGCCCCTCCCCCCCCCGCTGGTACCCTTCCCCTTAGTCAGCACGAAGCCCCTGCGGAACCCCGGCGTGGCGGTGTGCATCCCTCACCCGTGTAAAGCTTAATCAGAGACCGAATGAGGGTAGTCTTGCCGGATCCTCGGGGTCCCATGACGACGACCATCACGGGCGGCGGGACTTCTTCCGCGCGGTCAACCTGTTCGCAAAAAAAAAAAAACGCCGAACGCGCGCCGCTGCGTATTGCGTCTGCTGCTGGCATAGAAAATGGCTCAAAGCTCAAATTTCATAGTTTTGGGGAGCGACATGTAACGTCTATTTTTAGCTGTTTCGTTTGAGAACCGGGATCGGCGCTGCACACTTGCAGTAGAGAATACGAGCACAAGACCAGACAAGACCGGGGTGGGGGTGAAATTCAGGGAAACATGGAGAACGGCAAAAACGGCATGTGCGCACGTCTGAAAAACGCAATTGTGTATGAATAATATGGAGAAGCTTTTGCTGGGGGGCTGGGGGGTAGAGGAATAGAGGGATAAGGATACCCCTCCGAAACCTCCATCGACGAAATATTTGTGACCAAGCAAGCTTCCCGCCCCTGATGCTACTCGGTAGACGACCACCGTCAAACTAAGGCGTGCAATCGTTCAGCGTACCTAACAACCGACATTTGCCGCAGATCCAGTCACCCTCTCACCTGCGGGACGACCTCCTTCCGCTGTGCACGGTCGAGGTTCCTCTGCTGTGTCTTGCGGGTCTTGCCGATCTTCGACACGGAGAACGCCCGAGGGTTGTGCCTCTCCACCTGATATTCCCAACATTTTTCAAAGCAGAGGGACATCGGCACAGCGCACAGCGCGGTACCGTAGATGGCAGCAGGTGCAGGGCGGCACCAAGACAGAGCTCAGCGGAGCTCAGTGCAGTGATCGTTCTACCCCTTTGGCAGCCACTGGCGCGAGCAGGGCAGTGCTGTAAGACGCGAAGCAGACCGCAAGAGTCGGGAAGTACTACTGTAGAGCAGAGCTCAGCAGAATACACGGCGGAAGGCCTCTACCGTCTAGACAGACGCAACTAGAATCGTACGGAGCAGTGTTGTAAGACACGAATGGCGAAGTAGTATCTAGAGAGGGATGGTAAAAAATACCCAGCGCAAGGTGTGACGTCTTTGGGATACAAACAAGGCATGTAGTTTACAAACCTTTCCCCCCTTCTCCTTCTTTTTGTTGGCCTTGGCGCCGGACTTGGACGTGCGGTGCGGCTTCTTGGCATCCTTCGTGAGAGACAGTGCGTCCGACATGATGACTACTGCGCTTGGAGCTGTCTGGTGCCCAAATCAACAGCAGCGAGGGCAGTCGTTCGAGGGTTTCGTCTACTCCTTCGCTTTCTGCTGCTTCCCCGCGTCCTTGTTGCCTCCTGGCCGGTGAGGGGGCAGCAAGCAGAATCACCACCGTCGCGATTAACCACGAAAGCATCGAATCGTGATGCCAAAGATGTAGCCCGGTGTACGCCCCGGAGGTTACTGACATCTGCATGTTTTCCAACCGTCCATATTATCACTGGGAAAAAACGGTGATTAAATAGCGTCTCGTCCACCTGTGGTAAGGCCCTCAACGCTCCTGTAGGGCCTGGCTATATCCGGACGTTACCGATCATATTCGGGTTTCCCGCAATAAGCCTGTCCTCTCGCCAGCCAAGGCGTGAACCGGGTGGGCGAGAATACAACAAGAGGATGGGAACAACCAGAGACTCCACGAAGCACGCGAACCCCAATGTCGCGAATACAGAAATGCGCCAGAAAACTGCGCTATACCCAGGAATACTGACAACGATGTTCGTGCTGGCAACAACGGGTGGGTATGGGAATCGAACGAACGGGGGCGCGGGGTTGCACAAGAGACGCACAAAGACAACGACCAATAACATCCGCGTGGCAGCGGTAGTAGCTGAGAAGTTGCCAGGGTCTGCCAAGCAGCATCAGGCGGAAACTTTGCTGCTAGTGCCCGCTTTTCCAATCTCCTTCCACACAGCAGCGTTCCAGGCCGGCATCAATGGTTCACGAACGACACACCAAGCGCCGTTTGTGTGTGTGTGTGTTTTTTCGTCATATGTATTCTGGCGACAGTCCCTCTCGTGGATGTAGAGTACTACACTTTTCAGTGTACTTTTTGGTACAACTACAAACATCCAGGGTCACACAGGAGGGGGTAAACACCTGTGCTTTCGTCCTCTTTTTATTCTATTTTCGTGCCCCACCTTCCTCCTGTGGTGCGTGCTGAATATTTGTTTTGCATCGCGAGAAGGTGTCTACACAAAAGCCTTTTTCCCTCGTCGACGGTGCTAACGTCGCAGTTTGGTACTCACGAGATCTTTTCAGCTTTTTCTTCCCTTTCACCCGTAAGGTCGTAAATTTTTCACCCCATGGGGATTCGAACTCAAGACTTTGCCACTAGCGGTTTCGAGGTTACCGCTAGGACGACCAGGGCGACGTTTGGGCAACACACAGAAGCCGCACCGCTAACACAGCAGTAAGTTTGGTCTGAAAAGGCAGGTAGTTGTGTGCAAATATGCTGCACCACCTTTTATCACCACGCAGCGTGGCAGTTTAATCGCAGCACCGGGTCACGGCATCTCATTAAGGTCAGCGATATCGAACCGTGCATGTAACGGTACGTGTCCTTATCGCAGGCCGTGCTTCAGCTCGGCCGGGCGGAGGGCGTGTGTGTGCATGCGCTGGCTATGTGTAGACCGAGTGCTTAGAAGATGCCTTCCTGCCTCTACAGGACCATTGAGAGCACGCCCCAAATAACTACAGGGACTAATATCTCTATAGACTAACATCTGCAGGGGTCACTTCAGCTGTTGCCGAGCCTGCTCTTGCCATCCGAATTGCCGGGTGTGGCGTGCAACGTACACATGTAGTTGTCGAAAGGCACAAGGGCAAAGCCCGTAGCACGCCAGCCACTTGACGCGGCATTGTGATACCCACAGTCGACTCCGACATCTAACGGCCCACCCTCACCCAAGCCCTTCAGAGCCCTCGCTGTCGGCAGGCACCTTCTCTCAGCGCGATAGCCGCTGAAGCCGCATCCCACCTACCTTTGCCTCGCTGCCCACGCTTCTCAACCAGCTCGCGCTTTAGGTCGTCCTCCAGCAGCAGCGGCAGCCAGCAACCAACAGGTGTGGTCAACCGCCGCCGTCAGCAGCTTCGAAGGCGATTGGACTTCTCCAAGCTCCGCCCCCGACTCTCACCGAACAAGCACGTGATGATCTACCAGCAGCTGGGTTCCCCTCTGCACCTCCTTTCTCTCCACGCCGGCGAGGAAAAAGGGTGGTTCACGATCACACCCGCGCAGCCAGCTAACCAAACGCGGCGCAATTATCTTGTGGTACCGTAGACGGGGGTGTTCAAAAGGTTCGCAAAGGCCGAAGGAGACCGGGGACGCCCTTCCCGCATGTGACGGAGAAATGAAGACAAATGGAGAGAGAGCACACCACTCGCCCAACTCGTGCGTGCCTTGAGGACTATCGTTTTGGAATAGTGAGGCCTCGGCGGATAGTATGAGGATCGCCGTTGCTGCTCTCGGGCTGGGCCTAGCTTCAGTTATCCCAGGTTTGCATTTTTTCTCGGTTGAAGACACATCGGATATGCATACCATGCATCGTAAGCATACGTTGACTGCTGTGCCGCCCGCAGCCGGTAGGCCTGGAGACTAGGAAGCCGTGTGCGCTTTGCGCCGCCGACAGGACTAAGGCTATTGGGGGCTGCAATGGCTCCCGTGCACCACACTCCAGTCATTACAGCAAAATTTGCAGGTTGATTACTCAAGACGGTGTGGCGGGGGAGATGATCCAGGTTACGGAGCTGTAACGTTGAGTGCATCCCGTAGTATGGTGTGGTAGACTGACTGGACTAATCACAAAGGCATCAACAGCATCGTATTTCAAACCGCACGAGTCGCGGAAGGTACTGTGGTGGAGTGATCTAGTAGCGTCATCTGGCACATGATCGCGCATCAGGGAATGCAGCCGCTGCTGCTGTGCAAACGCACATGAACATGACCTCCATCCTTCTCATGTGCTCATGGTCGTCCTTCGTGCCATACCTGATCCATGCACATCACCTGTCGCTCCCAGTCGTTTTCTGCTGTACGATCTTGCTCATCTCACTGATTGGCCCCGATTCGGAGTTGCACGCATAGCTCCCAGCTACTCTGTGCTGCACCTTCATACAACAGCGCGTGAAGGGTGCAGCATTTTCCTCGCAGAGGGCTCTCGAACTTCTTACTTGTACTATCGCCCCCCGTTGATATCTACAGTAAACCATCAGAGCAGCTGGCCCTTGCAGAATCTCGTTGTTCTTCGCAATTGGTCGGAATTATTATGGTTTTTTTGTTTTTCTCTGACTCTGGAACTTCGTATCTATGGCATCGATAATAGAGAAGATGGAGCACTGGACAGAGGCCAGATTTTTTTGTTTTGTCCCTGGTGCGCCCTCAAAGGCGGCGGCTAGCTATTACTTTGTGTTCATCAGTATTACCGCAGCCAGCCACAGGCAGCAGCGCACACAAACGGAGTGAATGCATACATTTCGTTGCAGAAAACCTTGATGAAGGGCCGCATCTGCAGATAACATGATTGGCCCACGAAGGGAGCATAGCAGGTCTCTGTTGCTGTCTGTGCCATGGTTCTACATGTTGTAGCCACCTTTGGCAACGAGCAACTGCAGTGCCGTGCATGAGGTGTGGTGGTTAGGACCGATGGTGGTCACAGTTGCCAAAATGCCAACAATCCTACTTTGTCGGTAAAGGTACTTGTTGTGTTGTTCGTGTGTACACATGGCTGCCATTTGTTTGTGTCAGAGCGGCAAGGACGGAGCGTCTCCATGTCCCGAACTATTCTCGGTGCAGTACCTGCGACGCTGCCGTTGCTGCCGCCGCCACCACACACGCAACGCCTCTCCCGCCCAGCAAGATTTCACGCTTCCTTAACTGTAGACTTACCGGTCGCGGAGGCTTGATTAGTCCATCCGGAGAAGGACGCGGAAGGACCAGACTTGATTCACCATCAGAGATGCCAGGCCGCAAACCTGCCTCTCGTAGAATACTGCCGTGCTTTTGAACGACCCTGTTTGTGTTTGTCCCCTTGTCCCACCCCATTGAAACAGGTACAGTTGATGGGTTCGTTGTTCCTGCTGGGAGAGTCGTCGATGTGGTCCCCTCGTCGAGAAGCGATTCTCTACACCGCGCCGGAGTCATGGGGGACCGGAGCCGGTTGGGCCTTAGCGGGTACGCGTGACGGCCTTCGAAATGCTTTGATGCTATCCCTGCCGGTGCACTTGTGCCTTCATCCCTCTCGAGGATTCTTTCACGGATGTTGACTACTGGTTTTACGTTTTGGTGTAACCCTCGCCTTGCGTTGTGTGCCTAAGTATGGACGGGAAATGATGGTGCCACCGTCGTTTGTTCCTCCTCGCGAGCTTTGTACGGCAACCGGAGTACATCGGCATCGGAATCGGTTTGCGATGGATACATGCCTCGCGATGCTCACCGATCCGTCTGTCGGCGAGCGTTTGACAATGTCGTCAATCTACATTACCTGCACGTGCGTTGCCGTTCTTTCAGCACCACAACCACGTATGTCCGCAATACAGGAGCGAGGCACGGCGTAGTAGGTAACCGTATCCAGCACTTTGTGTTGTGATGTTTCCATCCAGACGACAATCAACGCCAGTGAAGACGGCGAGGTCCCTCATTTTCCAGCAGTGCGCCCATCGCCGGTGCAAACCTGACGAACGCAGAAGTCGCTATTTCGAACAATTGTAACCCGCGTCGTGCATTAGGTAACATCGCCGCGTTTGAACCGTTCTGTCCACAGCTTTTCGAATCACTGCCGGTTGCTGTCCTTATCCTAGGAGTGTACACGAAGCTCCGCTTCTGGATCACCGGAGTGGAAAGGGAATACAAGCTTCCAGTTTCCTTCCTCCGGACATTTCTCCTGTGAAGCGCATACCGTGCGGATCTAAAGGGATTCAGCGAGCGTAGCTGTACCTATTGGCGACGACGATGTTGCCCTTGCTCCAAACAATCCGCTCACCCTCCCTTACGTTTTCTGCCAGTTTAAGCGAAAGGAACCCGGTCTCGACCCTCAGCCGCGACGGCGGGGCTCGTCAAACTTCCACCGCTGGTGTCACGGCAACGGCGTTGAGTGCAAGGGCGGGACGCGGAGCAGAAGAGGGAGGACAGGAGGACGGGCCATCTTCCGCTGCTGCAATGAGCGGGGTCGGGAGCGTCGGAAGCAACGTCCTGCTTCTCGTAGCATCGGTGATGGTGGTGAAGGGTCTTCTCCTGCCCGAGAATGTTCGGTAAGAAGCACAAGCAGACAAAGGGGGGCGTGCAGAGACAAGGGGGGGGCGCAAGGGGGGTAAGCAGATAAAAGAGAGGAGGAGGAGGAATATAGACTAGCAGCGAGAAAATGAAGAGACTGGTAGGAAAATGTGGGAAGTATGTAGTCTAGACGGAGCCAAAAAGTAGCCGGTTGCATTGTGTTGTTTGAACTGGATTCGAGATGAAGAGTGTGGGACAGACTGGCCTTTGAGCCTCGATTTCAGGTTGGTTGTCGGTCGGCTTCCGTCAATCTCGTACTTCCGCTGTCTCGTTGTCGTTTTGGGTTCCAAGAGTGCTGACCCCATGGCCCGTGTGTCATGCAATTACTTGGTGCCAAGATTTCCACCTTCCCACGCTGTTGTTCCGTTTCCTTGTTTGATCTCCTCACCAGATGATTCTCCCTCCACCTCGCCAACTGCCCCCCCTTTCAGCATGTTCGTGTTCCTTGTCTCCTTTCTATCACCTTCTCCTGTGTGCATACTTTGACCTTTCCCCAATTGTTTTAGGCACCTGGGCTTTTGTCCGACCGAGGACCCTATTAGGGGAAGGGACACCCTGCCGTGGAGGATGATGATTGAGTCCGGTAGAGAGTGCGGCACCATCCCGGAGGTGCGTTGCAGGGAAGGTACACGAATATGGCAACCTGAGAAACAGGGAAGACTGTGTCTTTTTGGGCATATGCGTAGAACTCAAGGATTCGTGAAGAAATTGACGTCGAGGGTAAAGGCGGTTGACTTCCTGCTGCTGCGTGGATCCGAGGTTTGAATTTTCACAAGCATCGGAAAACTGCAATCTCGATTAGGCTTGATTTTGATTACAGCAGTATCGAATTCCTGGACGGCTAAGGCGGCAAGCTGAGACAGCATGGCTGTGTGCCATCCACTCACGACTATTGCTTTGAGGGAATATCGGAATGCCGCTTCGGTGTTTTGTTGAAAGGCGATATCGTGTCGTACGCCTTTGAGTGGGCGACTGCGGTATGGGCTCTCACCTGTAGTTTCGGAGCAAAGCTCGACTTCAGTGATTCATTTTTCATCAGAGGTTTTCATACGCCAGGATGACGAGAGTGTTGGGGTAACGCCTAGATTACTCCGTACCGTGATTGTAGTTCCGCCTCGTCCGCCTCTTCCGTGCTCCGAGGCCCCCAGTCGGAGCCGCCGAAAGGTCTATGGCTTGGTCACACACCCGAAACAGATATCTGGGGACCTGACCTGGTACCCCTGGTCTACAGATGATGTCACTCACTGCACATTATTGCCACTTCATACACGAAATGAGTGACGTGATCGCTTCGCGTGAAATGGCATCGACGTCCTCCGCGCGTGTTCGATCCCCGTCATATTGTTTTCGTTGGTTCTCGATGTTGCCTCTTTTCTCTTTTAGGTGATGACCAAGTACGTCACTGCCCCGCTCGCGTTCCCGGGAACGCCTGAGTGGGGCATGATGCTCAACACCAAGGAAGACCTTGCCAAGGACGCCTGGCTGCAATGACATTATGATGCCAGCCGGGGCGTGCTCCGTTGTTTCTGCCTTCATCACTTGCCCCTTCAGCGCAAGCCTGCAGGATGGAGACGCCTCAGTTGATGTCAAAACGCGAGTATTCTGTCGTGCAAGCTATTGCCGTCATGGATTGTCCCTGTTGGGGTAGTGACTTCGTCGTCGAAACAGGCAGCAACTTGAGCATCGAAACATCGGACCTTCGAGACACCGGCAGTGGTTGAGTTCTGTACGCCGATGATGTTGGGCGGAGATCAAGTCTACAGCATTACCGTCGTAGTTCCACGACGAGGTCGAGAGAGCCGTAAACAAGTGTGCAACGTCGATTACGCTACCGCACGCAGGACGCTTCAGCAGCCTACAATACAGGGGTGCGCGTACCCATCAGCATCCACCTTCTTGTCTGTGAAACACTCTCCCGTATCTGCGCAATACAGGAATGAATCAGCAATGGCCTATCTCCCCTCAGCTGTCTCCCTGTAATTGAAACGTCAAACCTGGGAAAAAATGATGTCATTCCGGGGCTTTGACGGAATGTTGGGGAATAGCATCCGAAGGGAATGTACGGCGGTGTTTTCCAATCATTCTATCAACCAATATTAGCGGGCTCACCGTGCGCAGCCAGCCTTCGCCCAAGGTCCGGCACCCTTCTGCATCAGTGTAGACGCAACCAGATCATGCGCTTGCCCGTCGGAGACTACCCTCAGCAGGTTTATTTCAATATGTATTCTTGACCGGGGGCGATCTCGATTCACTCCTGCTGTCATCTGCAGTACATTCCCCCCCGCAAGCGTCCACAAAGCTACTCAATGCGAAAGTTTCAAGAGCGCAGCTCCTAAAGAAACCAATGTGGGTAGGTTCCCGCTAAGGACCGTGCTCTCGTCTAGACTCTCAAGCAAGATGGTTGCAGAGAGCAGCCTTAAAGGCTCGCCTGCAAATGAGCACGTATCACGTATTCAAACCAGAGCTGCGGACGTGAGCATGGTACACCGCTACAGGTAGTGCTATTGATCCTACATAGGTTAAGCCGCATCCTGATAGGCACTCTTATCTTCAAGGTGGGGTCCAGCCACTTCCCACAGAAGAAGCGTCATTCGGCGCAATGTGCTTGCTCTCCGAGCCGTGAGTGACTACGTACGACAGGAATTCAACCGACTTGTACAATAGAGGCATCACACGGTTCCTACTGTACCGCGGACTACTGTAGACTTGACACAGCGGCAAAAGTCGTCTCCGTGGTTTAGAGCTGCATTACGTGGAAGATGTGAAGGGGCCGAAAGGAAGACCTGTCCGATTGCCAAGGTCATGCTGCAGGTCCGTCCCCAGTTCCCAGACACAGCGACCCTTCCGATGGTATGTACGTATCGCTGCTTCTACCTCGATTCCAACATGTTGCAGGGTCGCTGACGTACACTATGGCAGAGTGATCAACACATTGACCGGCATATCATCCGTGCCTTCGAAAGCGAGCGGTAATCTCTGCCGAAGTACGTACAACAGTCACGAACTGACTGCACCACGCAGACTCGAACCGGGAGTTCAAATATTGGTTTGAGAGGCATTTTCCCACAAACTTTCTCTCGTCCCCCCCTCTCTCCCTCGCACTTCTTCCCCCCTCCGGTCTCACTCTCATTCGTCCCTCCACTCCATCTCCACTCTCTCCCCAGACATTCAACCTGCGACAACTAGTGTCGCCTGCAAGAATCTCTGTCCTAGAGAGAGAAGGAAGGCTCCGGCGACCGCAACTCACTCCTTGCATTTCAAGTAGCAAGAGGTCATCATGGACTTCACTCAAGGGGCCAAGGAATCACTTCCTCACGATGCCACTTCGCTTCCATCTGCATCGACCTTGTCTTTCTCCTCCTGTGAGCCACCTGACTTCGCAGCATCCCATCTTGTTACACCTGCTGCCGGCGTGGAGGTTATCCCACTCAAGAACAGGAGGAGAAGCCAGCGCCTATCCAGCCGCCGGATGAAGACCTGCGCACGTGTAGGTGAGGGTGGGCTGGAAAAGCACGGGTGATTTGCCACCGGCCAAGGGGTGCTCCGTCTTCGAAGAGGAGCAGTGCTGGTCTCCTTGCCTGCATTTGAAACCTGCTGTTGCTACTAACGGTTGCGTCTAGGGGATGGCAGCCGCGATGATGTGACTTTTCACTTCTCTCCTGGAATGTCAGCTCTTCGGTGTGAGGGCTCGGCCGGGGAAAGTTCAGCTGAGTGAACGAGCCCTGGCATAGCGCATCGAACATGCCAGGATATACGCTGCTCCCAATGTACACAACTATTGATGCTGATCCCCGAGACTCCTGAAGGCATCCTTGACACACACCATTCTCCATCACACGAAACATCTGTCTTTTGCTGTGATTCCCCGATGCGGCGCAATTTCCACTGCAATGTCCTCTTCATACAGTACCCCCTCAAGCATTCACGAAATTCCAGGGTCAACGACCCTTCCATGCTACACTGTAGCTTTCAAGCGGTGTGCACGCAACTGTATGTATTCCAAATTCTCCATCTAGAGTCAAAGGGTCACGTTCTGTGAGCAGTTACCGGTGTCCATCGGTGGCTCAGCGGAATCACACACCACCCAATCTGACCAAGCCGGAAGTGAAAGCCAGATCCGTGCCATTTTTACACGCATGCAGGTGGGCCAGGTGTAGACGGTTCAGAGGGCAGAGACGATAATGCTGACATCACCACCAACAGCAGAACACCAACGCAGCCTCTCCTCTCGGCCGCCTTGAGGGTTGTTCTTCTCTCCGAGTTGGTATCCGTCACGATCATCAAGCAGCTACAGCTGGCCTCTTCATCGATCTGCGGAGACTGTCGCGAGTTGACCGAATTCCACGTCAACGTCAACTCCCGGACTCCCCGGCGCCTTTGGACGGCCAGCCGAGACGCACGTGGTCAACGAAGCAGCCGGAAAGCGGCAGGAGTCCCCGGGGTACCTCCCGTGTTCGTAAGGCAGCTGACACTGAGTGATTGCTTCAACCCAACAGTGACCGGCATGCGCTGGCCTGAACGATTGAGGGAGATTGCCTTCGGCAAGCAATTCGACAACAGCCTCAGCGGCGTTCAGTGGCCACGGACGCTGGTGCACGTCCGTTTCGGGTGCTCATTCGACCAGCCGCTAGTCAGAGTGGAGTTTCCCGACGGCTTAGAGAGCCTGGCCTTCGGGTGCGGCTTCAACCAGCCCCTGGCTGGAGTGAAGCTCCCTCGCGGGCTACGGTCGCTCGGGCTCGGCGAGGCCTTTGACCAGCCGTTGGACGGGGTGGAGTTTCCCGATGGACTGCAGACACTTGCCCTTGGTGGTGTCTTCGACCAGCCGGTGTGTGGAGTGCAGTGGCCGGTGGGTCTCGAGAGACTGGCGTTGGGCAGAGAGTTCAACCAACCCATCAGTGATGTATCGTGGCCTCAGGGCCTTCGCCAGATCGCGTTCAGCCAAGAGTTTGACCACCCGATCGAGTCGGTGGCGTTCCCGTCCTCTGTGCAATGGTTGGAGTTCGGGGCGAATTTCAACCAGGTACGTGTTATGAATGAGTGTCAGGTTGCGAAAGAGCATGGTACCATGAACAGCTTGTCTTGGTAAGGGTAGTGTAGTCTATGATGAGCAATGGTTGGGCGTGCTTGGTGTTACAGTAAATAGATGGATTCTTTCCTCAGCGGTGATTTCTAGTGTACCTCTGCCCATGTGATAGCTTGCCAACATTTCTATTCTTCTGACAACGGCTGTGATCGTCTCATTTGCCTGCCGTCATTCTCGCCTTATTGTTCGTTCGACTCCTCCTTATCCGGCTCTTCTTGTGTGTTGTCTTTACGTGTAGGATGTTGGTGGTGTCAAGTGGCCCGCAGATCTCGAGTACCTCAAGTTCGGCTGCAGGTTCAACAAGACCTTGGAGCACACACGGCTTCCCCGAGGACTAGCTGTCTTGAAGTTCTGCTGCCTGTGGGACCACTCTCTTGCACGGGTAGACTTGCCCGAGTCTTTGCAACTCCTGGGCCTGGGTGATGGATTCGATCAGCCGCTAGACGAGGTTCGCTTTCCTCCTAGCCTCGCCTATGTTTACCTTGGCGACAGCTTCGACCAGCCGCTGCACGAAGTGAAATGGCCGGCCAACCTGAAGGCGCTGTACTTGGGAGATTCGTTCGATTACCCGCTTGATATCAACGAGTGGCCGGAGCCGCTGGAATCCCTCTTCTTGGGGCAGAGCTTCTCCGAGGACCTAGACTCCATCGATGTGCCGGCGAGCTTGACTATCCACGTTGTGGGCGGCTCGTCCGAAGAATCGGAGGCCGTCGAATGGCCTTTTTGAGCAGTTCTAGGGGGTTACGTCGGGGAGATTTGTATACATTTGTACAGAGCATCGGATGCAGCGATCGGTGCTGTGTGCATGGATGCGTGGAACTTTCATGACACAGGTGGTCATCCGTTGAGAAAGAAGGTCAGGGACTCACCCCCCCAATAGATACGTCGCCTGGTAAGAATAGCTAGACATGACACGCTCTACACATGGAAGACTCCAAACCAAATGAGGCGATCTCACAACTTTATGTTGTCGACGAGAATTCACACACGCGTAGAGGCATTCGTCCCAAGCTACTGGACGGTCGACGCAGTTGCAAAGAACCGTTCAGGCCCTCCCCATGGCGGTTGCCATAGCGCACGCCAAGGCGTCGCCTACATAGACCCGGAATTGGAAGGCATGGAATCTTGCCTGGTTGATGCAATGTTGGCGAGGAATACGTTTCGCAGAATGAGGAGAAACGATTAGCCCCGGAGACGCAACCAAGAGTCTCCCACACAACTCCTGTAGCACCACTTGAAGCATTTGCAATATGGGTGTTGTAATATTCATCTTTCGCAAAGGAAGAGGTCGCAAACGTAAATACGCCCATTACAAAAAGCGTCGCGAAATCCACACCCCGCCCCAAACAACGTAACCTACCGCACACACAGAATACCAGAAATCCTCGGAGGCAATCCTTAATGCCAATGCTCTCCTCACGGCCACCGTCATTTCAGATAAAAGGGCAAAAATGTGACGAGGCTGCGCCGCAAACCCCGCCGCTCTGGGGGTAGTTACAACGTGTTATGCCCACCTGCCTTCCGTGCACTCTGCTTGTCCCATACATAATACAGCTTTGTAGCGTAACCTTTCTATCTCCTAAAAATCCCCAACCTCCGATCTGCCCATGTACCGTTTTATTTACTCTCCGAAAGCTACAACTCCCCAATCGAAACAAAACGTACTTCACGTCACAAGGGTGCACGCAGGGATTCGGTCAGACAATAACTTCCCTGTCGACAAACTTGAGAATACATGGAAAACCAGAGACTACGCTGTCCTTCTGCAACCCACATGGCACGAACAACACCAAAACCCATCTCCAAAAGGCTGGTATCGGCCTGGGGTGGGCCACGGACGGGTTCGATCTTGGTCTCAACACCGGATTATCGCGGGTGATGTGGGGGACGCCCTCAACAACGGTCTGACTTGGTCACCCAATAATGGTGACAACGAGACCGCCCATTCAGGCAGCATAGAAGCTGAAGCTCCTCAAGAACATCTGCCGTAAAATATCACAAAGAGAGACCCCCTACCGCAACACGAGGCCCCGTCCCACGTCCCGCCTCAAGATATATACATCTACACTCCCGTTGATCGCTTTCGTCGCTTGCCATCGCTTCGCCAAGGGATTTGCTCCAAGACACTCTGCCGGGCTACCTCTTGTTGGCGTGCTGATTGTAGTACACCCCGCCCTGTTGCGGCGCGGTGGCGCCAGGGTACGGTGGCGGAGCCTGCGGTTGTCCCGGTGCACTCGCAGCCGGCGGGTAAGCCGTCGCCGGGTACACCGGAGGCGCGGAAGGTGCAGTTGCGGGGGGGCGGTAGTCCGGCGACTGCAAGGCCGCAAGGGTGGCGCAACGCAGGAACGGTTCAAGCATGGAGGACGGGAGGGTTTCTTTCATTGTGGGAGTGAAATCAACACATTGACCATGCAACCCTCTCTGACACGGAGCTACATACTATCGAGGATCCCGCCAAAATTTTGTCCATAGGTTTCCCAAGGTGGTGAATACAAACCTGGATGGGAGTGAACTACCCAGACGTTGGGAGGTGTTCCTCCAACTTCTGCTTCAAGCGATCAGGGTTAACGCCCATAATGTAGCTGTCATCCGCGTATGTTATGCATGCCCGCGGGTACTCGTTCAAGGCCCGTTTGATACCCGCGACAAAGACCGAAAACAAGCTCCCTGCAGTCAGCATGATATCTAATAGGGCACAAGGCAACACGGCCAAAGCGAAAGAGCGGAATCTTCGCTCCCTAAAAGACAACTTGCTAAATAGCTGCGGCTACGGCAAGCTACCACGATGGAATAAATAAGCCGCAGCGATCAGCTTTGAACGGAGGGTATCTAAAAGGCGCACAGAATTGCACTTTGCCCAAAGCCGGAGGAACTGGGGCCCTCAACATCCAGTAGCGTTTGCTGACCTGAAAGTTTGCGGGGGTTCCGCCAGCGCCATAGGTATAAGGGGGAGGGGCTGTGGGCGGTGCGTAGCCGGCGTTACTGCCAGCAGGGGCGGCGTAATTGGTGTGCCCGCGGTTGTCACCGTAGCCATGCTGGCGCCCTCCGCCGCCGTATTGGTGCTTGCGGCCGTAGCCGTAGCCGTAGCCGTAGTCGCTGTCGCTGCTGCTGCTACTGCTGCTGCTGCTGCTGCTGCTGCTGCTCTCCCTCCTGCGGTTGTCCCTGTATCGGCCGTTGGCCCAGGCCTCGTACGGCAGCACCTCGTGGTTCCGGCCGGCGTTGTTCATGCCGTTTACCTGTTCGGACGCAAATCAGGCGAAGAAACGGCGTACGTTGTACCGCGTACACACGTCTTCGGAACAAACCGCAGCCGACACGAATGACCTTCCATGCCGCATGCTAGGACCAACGCTACACTCAGTGCGAGCAAATCTACTCACGTAGTTGTTGTACTCGTTCCGGCTTCCGCCGCCGCCGCCGCCGTAGTGGTACTTGGTCTTGCTCTTTTTCTTTTTCTTGGGCTTGCTCTTCTTCTGGTGCTGCTTCTGACCACCGGACTTGGATGCCTTGGTGCTGTTAAACTTCACGTCGGAGAAGACAGAGGCCTGCAGCTGCCCCCCGCTCGTGACGGTCCACCACCGCATCTTCCCGTCTGCGATCTGCCAGAAAAAGCAACAAACATGGACGCCCGGGGGGGGGGAGGGGAGAACATGTCAAACCCGAAGATGGTTTCCGAAGAAGGTCGAGATGGGCAGAGCTGATTTGCGTGTGCCGAACGAGACATGCTCGTCCCTGTGTACATTACCGCATCATCCCACCCAATATCTCCACCAAAACCAAACATTCAAGCGCTGTGCCCACGATGGGGAAGCAAGGAGGACATTGGCCGATTCCACTGGCACAGCCACATTAGCCTGTGAAGGGAGAATAAAGCTGTCAAATATTGGACGGCGCGGAAGCGGTGGCCTGACCGGGAAGCTGCCAAGCGCTTTCTTTGGGAAACGAAAAAAGCAAGACGCAGGCGGTCGAGGGGCGGCGTTTTGGCAAAATGAACGAAAGATTCCAGCAAAACGAACAACGGTACACGCAAACGTGCCTCACATGTACAACACAATCGAACCCGCACGCGCGCGTTCAGAGTGAATGCCGAAAAAAAATCGAAACACAAAACAACACCCAAAAAACAACGTGCATCCGAGCGGTCCGAAGGGATCGCAACTCAGACAAATAGCGCATCTCCCTTCTCTCTTACGGATGACTCACCCCCTGGAGAGGAATCTTCCCGCACGTGCCGATCATCTTGTCGGCGGACATGGTGTTGTAGTCGTATATCTCCAGCACGACCGCCAGCTTCCGCAGCGGAACGTTCGAAGGCACGTAGAAGGTGAAGAAGTTGTTCCTCCTCGCCCAGCTGGGGTTCCGGCCGCCGTTGTTGTGCGTCCCGCTCTTCACCTCGGAGATCTTTTGCGAAAGGTGGGCATAAGATGACAAGGAGGCGCGCCGGGGGGTGTCCGCAAAACATGGACAAGTTCATATGACAAGTCCGGACACTCTGCCTTGACACCTTTTGCCGTGTGGTAGAATGGGGAGACCCCGCCCCGTCGTCTCGATTTGGAGCCACTTCCAACGTGCGAGCGACCGCTCGGGGTTAAGTTCTTGTCATATGCGCCTCTACAATAGAGTTTGCCGGCACAGATGTCGCAGTTCGACTAGCCCTTGCTTCGCCTTTGCAGCCAAAAAATATAAGCACAGTGTCCAGATTCATTGCCTTGAATGAACCTTGAATGAACCACTCCGTTGCCTGAACAGCCGCGACTCGGCAAAAATGTCACCAACCTGGTATCCGTCGACGAGAAGCTTGGCCTTGACGTACGGGTCTTGGGTGCTCATGGTCGACACGCTCTTCAGGTTTTGAGCACAGGCCACGTTGACCGTCAAGCCTCCGACCTAAGCGCGCGCGCAGACACGCGTGCGAGGGAATAGCGAAGACATTGGACAAAAGGGTGGCAAGTAGACCAGGGCGCGCGAGCTACACATGCTTGCGACAGAACCAGTGGTGGTCTGGCGGGAGCTGCCCGTGTTGCGTGGCGTTGTTCCGTGTCGGCGAGAAACAACAACCTCCAGAGACACCCAAAAAGAGCGCAAGCCCTGTGCCGCGGTCCAGTCCTGAAGTTAGCAGAGACAACCCCATTGACAAAAAAAAACACACACACCCCTCGCCATGGTCTAACGACTGCGGCATGCGTTAGCCTTCAGTACACCCCCGTCCCCGAAAAACAAATGTCCCGTCAATTTCGTCGGCAGGTCACCCACACACCTGCGCGGACACCTGCTTGCTCCCCTCCTTCCACGTGACCTGGCTCCTGGCGCCCCTGGGGTACGCCGCCGCCGCGCCGCCGGCCACCGCCGTCGCCGCCAGCACCCCCATCCAAGGCAGCCTCATGGCCGAGCCGCGGTAGCCGTGGTGGCCGCCGCCGTAGCCGCGGTACCCGCCCATCCCCCCCATACCGTAACCGCCGCCCATTCCCATCCCCATGCCGCCGAGGCCTACCCCGAACCCTCCCGGGCCGTAGTGGTAGCCGCCCCCGACGCCGTGGTGGCCGAAGCCTCCGCCGCCACCGAAACCCCCGTGCCCGCCTGTCGTGTTTAGAGATTGCGTATGATATTAGCGCGCGCGAACCCGCACCCGCATACACACCGCGGTGGCGTTCGATGCGCAAACAAGTACACAGAGCTGGTCTGCAGGTGAGCTTTGAGGATTGTAGGGACTGGGGGGGCCAGCATATGTATTCTGGTATTCCTCATTCATGCATACATGCATACATGCACATGTGCTGCTAATAGTCGTGGCTCCGTCTAGGTGGGTGCGCCTGGTGGCATTTGCCTACACGGTGAAGCTGTTTTTGAACGTGCTGATATGCTGCAGTACTCACAGGCCATAAAGATAGACAACAAAGCCCAGCATCATTCTTGCAGTATCCAACTAGCACAGCATCTACCACCTTATGTTGTTGCCATACATTGTATGGAGTGGTACATCCCCGGCGCACTCATGCAGGTCGTCACCCTGTCCCCCGAATGCAAGTCACGGGTAGAGGTCTTACTAAAACGTTTTGGGACGATTCTCCCGACGCGCGTGCGTGATCTCAATGAATTGTTCCAGCATTGCAGGCGGACTCCTTGGTGCTGTGTGGATTTCGTGGTCGAGGTGTTTTGCCAACTCTTGGCTGGAGTTACTTTGTTTCTCCCCACCCCCCGGCGCGCACGCCGATCCGCTGGTGCTGGCCCCCGCTATGGCCGAAGCCAAGGCTACCCGTGTTGCCTGGACAAATTCGCTGCTTGCGTCGATGCTTAGAACCACAAGTTCTGATACCGAGACGTTGCTGCCGGACTTGCATGAGCCATTTGGATTCAAGAAGTTTGAGACCTTGGAAAACTAACCACGATGAAGCCGGCGAGCTTCGCAGTTCCATCTTTATCCACGGGCATAATATTCGTGACCAATCGTCAGCATTGCAGCGTGCTTCCACGGCTTGAGCACGTGCTTTTAGTGCCCTGTGCTTGCCGTATCGAGGAGGCCTCCACGAAACCCGTATTTGCAAGCACACACTACGTTAGGCATGGCCCCCACCTTATTCTTGCTTTGAACATCATGAAGTTGACTGACTATTCCGAGTATGTTCCCTGTGCTCGTGGAAGGCGTCTGTGTCCGTTTGACCGGCACAGACGTTTGAAGATACCCAGCAGAGACGGGACCCGGATTGAAACATAGAGACAATACCAACCAGAACAAGAACACCAGGAGCGCAGACACGGTGGTCAGAATCCGACTCGAACAGCGGAACAAGAGCAGAGCGGCGTAGCAAGCGGAGAGACCACACAAACAAAAAGAGAATACTGTAAAACACTCGCCGTGGCCGTGGTGGTATCCCCCACCGCCGCAGTGGTTGTTCCGGTGGTGGTGGTTGTTGCGGCGCCCTCCGCCGGCCGCAGCGCCGCCCGCCATACCTGCGAGCAGTCCCATCGCGCCCAGCCCGCCCAGGTTTCCGAGCCCTCCGCCTCCACCGTGCGAACGACCGCCGCTCCCCGCGAGAGACGCGAGTGCGCCAAGGCCCCCGGCGGCCCCGCTAATGCCGCCCAGCCCGCCGAAATCGCTCAGGTCCGGCATGGCGTTAACAACGTCCTCTTATTCTTAGCCCGCACTTCTTCCTCCTGCCCTGGCGTTTGTGCTACATGTTTGGGAGGGCAAAAAGCGGTGGCGGAATGGGCAAATTGCTGGAGGTGAGACTCTTTGGGAAACAGGCAAGATATCGCCACGTAGGTAGGTCGCGGAGGATCTCGTTGCGCGACCCGAGCTTGACGCATGCCTGCATCTGCTTGCGCCAGGTAAACCCATTCGTGCGGCACAGTCAACTCGTATTGTGGTTGCCAACACATCGGTGGCCTGCTAGGGCCATTATGTGAAGATGGCGGGTCCCTATTTGTACTTTGGTTGGTTAGGGTTGTGTTCTACGAATCATATTTGCAAGAGAGAGTCGATTTGGGGTGGAACGCGGGAGAAAGGCATGACGAAGGGGGCAGTCCATCAAGTGACAACCAGTCAAATCATTTCCACGTTCAGCCGTGGTGGCTGCTTGTGCAAGCACTGCCACAAACGCAGCCACAGTACCGCCGTGGACAAAACGCACCCCCAGCTTCGCCTGTCCCCTGCTGTGCTTGTGCATGCCACCATCGAAAAAAATTTGCGAATCGAATGATACCCGGATCAAACGGAGAGAGGGCAAAACTCCGTACGGATGGGCGGCGGTGGGTGTCATCCCTCGCCGTCCGCAACAGACGAAGCCACTACTGCTGTCGGCAGCAAGGTCGAGCGAAAGGTGTAACTTTCATCCCAAAAAGAAGACAAGCGATATGCGCGTTCCAAACTTGAGGGCATCGCCGTCACGGGTCAAGAGGCATGCTGCCGACAAAGCGTCGGAGATGGCATTCAAATATCAGCCATGTGACGTGAACGTCCTGGCCTTCTCGCATTTTCGCGGGGGACATTCAAAACAAGGGCACACGTTCTGGATATTGGGGGAACCCAACGGAAATAAAGTGAGTCAGTTCGAGAGGCGAGAACGGCGGTACTACAATATAGGTTCTGCATAAGCTGCGGCCCTGATTGTGCCTGCACCCATCAGGCACGTGATGGTATACGAGGATACGAGGGTCTATCGCACAATACGGGGTGTAATGGACTTCGCATGAATCAAAATACAGTTCCACCCCTACGGAGTGCTATCGTATCCTAGTGACTGGGGGCAAATTCGAATGATGCCACGCCCGTGCGCCATCGCTCGAGTTGTCACACAGAGAGCGTGTACACGCCGTTGATAGCGTACAAGAAAATAACTTAATTGCTCATGCTTGGAGGCATACACGATCATTGATATTTTCCTGTGATTCGCCGGCGAGGATAACACCCACACGGGGGATAAAATAAGTCCTCTCGACGGTCGAACAGTTGTAGTGAAGGAATGAAGGAGTGTGAGGGCGACAACAACATCTGTCAGAAGAGATTCACAGGTGTGACAGGAAATGAACTTCACATTTGTGCAGATTTCTGACAGGCGGTGGAACTATTCATTGCACTACGTCCTAGATGCCCAACCGCCGGTAACACAACAAATGGGGAGAGGGCATAGATTTTGAGGGATACCGTGGAGACGCACCACTGGTTCATTTCATGGTGTGCTAGAACACTTTACCGAATCTATCAGTGTCAACCCCTGTTGTGCGCTACAATATCATGAAGTCCATGCATGTGCCAAGAGAGACAGAGACGAAGGAAGGTCCACGTTCCGCAAAATTGACCCGACTACAACGTAGTTTCCGTCCAGCTAGCTGGACTGCCGCAAGCACTGCCCCCTCGACTTATTCGCCGACTTACCTTATGAAAAAATGGCGTTCCTGGTTTGCTACCTGGCCAGGCACCACAAGAAGGACGAGTTGCATCAAGAACCTGATGCAGCACAAGAACCTGATGCACCACCCCTGACCCGCTCGGCGCATCGCCGCCGCGGGGGTTCCGCATAATCAAGGTACCCACCAATAATTTCGAACGCGGATCGATCTGCAGACGGTTCTCCAAAATTTTGAGAAACGGTTTACAAGTTGTTGAGGGCCTTGGGGCGTACTCCTGAAGCCGCTGCCTCTCTTTCTACGCTGCTGCGTGCTGTGCTGTTGACTCTGCTCGACTGGCTGATCTTGGTACCTGCTGACTGGTGTAGTTCCTGCCAAAAGGTTCGGAAGGGTGCCGTCTACTGGGTTTGCAAGGGGGAAGGGACGGTGCGGTGACAGCAGCGGCCGGGGACTTGCTCTAAAACCCAGACAAGAGCGAGCTAAGCTCAGAGAGGAGGGAGAGCGAGAGAGAACCGGAAACAGGAGGCAAACATGGGTGCCTGTCTCGCCTGTGCGGCGTGCCAGACATGCGTCAGTGTCGCCAGCATCTGCTGCAGTTGCTTGGGATGGTGAGTTTCCTCTGCTGAGGTTCGGACAATGATGATGTAGACCGCCGGGTTGTTTACCGGGCCGATGTCAGATGCGCACATCGCAAGGACGGTCCGCAGCGTTGAATGTATAGCGAAGGCACCAGCAGACTGCGGAATGCATGTCCAACGACTCGCACAGCAGCTCTCAATAGGGCCAGGAATTTGATCTCTAGCTTTCACAATAACGTGGTTTAACGCACGGGACCGAGGAGAAATGCTTCTTTCAGCGTGTGCAGACATTTTGGTGTATCGGGAACTAATTGTATTCTCGCACCACCCTCTCCTCCTGTAGGTCTGTGCGCCACACCGACCAGAGGGAGTTGGACGGGCACGAACAAGGAGCTAGCGCATCCCAATTTCGAACGTACACACTCTACCGCAAAGACGAATGAGCACGTGCTATGTTTACACTTCTCAGGAAAGTGCGGCAGATATTATGAAATTCTACAGCAGTCGGCAGCAATTCTAGTCTACATATCATTTAGAGAGCTGTATTTTTGTATTTTTTTATTTTTAAGAAGTATTTTTCTACAGATGCCTGCTCGCTTTTGTCCTCTCCCAAGGATGATTCTATGCACATTTGCATCACCTCACGCAATTAGACCAAACATCTGCACCGCGTGTGTATGCATATGGGATGGTACTTGTTTTCCTGTGAGTACAGAAGGCGCTCAACGTACGGACTTGAGAATACTGCTGTACAGGTAAGACATTGAGCCTCCGAGAAGTCTACATACGCAAACTCAAGAACATAAGATGACAACAGGTACCCAGATCCGATGTTGTATTGTGCGGAAACGCCATGTATCACATGTGTCTTGGCTTGAGCCTCCGGGCGACTTTCGTAAAATTGCGGTCGTGAGGCGGAATCATCCCGAGATTCTCGCAGCGATTCTTTCTGAATATTTCGGCCAAGTTCCACCACTCCACATCTAGAAGACCATGGTAACTACAGTACATGGGTCACCATCAACTATCGGAACCACCATATTGTGTTGGTGTATCCATTTTCATTCCAAGCCCTAAGCACTAATAACTTTTGAGGATTCAGTTTGTGCATGCATAGAGCTGTCGTGAGCCTGCGCTATCGACAAAGTTCAGAGCCTCGATCCTACCTGTATTATCAAGAACCAAGGTGGAAAGAGATGCAATCTTTCCAGATATGTCGCGCAACAAAGAGCCAACATTATTAGAGGACGAGGTCCGCTCTCACTTTTCACTGTGGCACCCTGCTTCGACAGGAAGACAGGAAAACAGAAAGATAACAGGGAGCACCGGTTGAGGCCGTTCAGTCGCAGCGCACATGCAGGGCGGTGCGCACGTCGCCTCTCGTGTGGGTATCCCTTTCTCCCTACGTGTTCTGTTCAGCAGCAGCGTGTTTTCCCGGTTTCTCTGCTTCTATTTCTTCTCTCCGCTCCTCCGCTCCTCCGCTCTTCCCTCTTCGGCATCATGAGTAGCGCCCTCCTCGACATCGACCTCGCCACCGCTTCGGCGCCGGACAGAATGGACGCAATTTACAGCGTGGCCACCGTGGTCAACGATCAGGGTGTCCGCAAGCGGCTTCCCGGCAAGATTGCCGCAGCCGCCGGGCCGCGTGGGGCCGACACCCTGGCTTTTCGATGGCTGCCTCCGTATCTGGCACATGCTAACGGACCGCCCCGAGGCGATGAACTTGTCGGGCCCGGTCGCTCGTCAACCGCCGGCAACCGCCGGTGCCGGCGGTTGACGAGGGCGACCGGGTCCGACAGGTTCGTTAGCATGTACGACACACGGAGGCAGTCATCGAGAGCCAGGGTGTCCGCCCCGCGCGGCCCAGCGGCTGCGGCAATCTTGCCGGGAAGTCGCTTGCGGACACCCTGATCGTTGACCACGGTGGCCACGCTGTAGATTGCGTCCATGCTGTCCGGCGCCGAAACCGCTTGCGGACACCCTGATCGTTGACCACGGTGGCCACGCTGTAGATTGCGTCCATGCTGTCCGGCGCCGAATCGGTGGCGAGGGTCGATTTCCTTGTTGGATCTTCTCTCCAGGTCTTTGTCAATGGAATCATTGCATCCCATTTCGAGAATACACAACTTGTTCCATATTCTGTGTTATATGTTCATCTGGCGGTGTTTCCCCTTGTGGTGCCAGTTTGACTTTTTAATCAACGTATGTACGTTGCGTTCTCGTGCGGCAGCTGCACGAACAGCGGGGGCGGCGATGGCGCCAACGCTCCTCTGGTGGGCCGCGTGAGGGCGCTCACCATCATGCTCATCTCCGTGGTTCTTGCGGTGGCGGGGCAATACTGGTGGTACCAGTTATTCGACGGCTTCGACTGGTGGAACGACGGGTGAGATTTTTTTTTTCTGACTCTGCAGCCGCCAGCACTGGCTACGACGTTGCCTCTAGCGCGGCGTTCGACTCCGATTCCGTGTTTTTTTTTTTTTTGTCGTTGGGACCCGTGGTGGGATGTGTTTTTTAGGACACCAAGAGACCATAGCCACAGCGATGAAGGCTGCAATTTCCGCGACAAAGCGGTTGGAACAAGATCAACAGAGTGAAAGCAGTGTCGACGGCGGCCATGGTGAAGGTGGCGGCGTGCCGCTATTTCACCTCGGCTCTGAGCCAGCGTTGGACCAACGCGTCCCAGAGTACTCTAATGCCTAGGGCGTACGTGGTGGTTATCGATACTTGGAACTTCGAGTAAACCCCCTTGCCTCGCACAACCTCTGACTTTCTCAGCACTATCCGGGGGCATGGGTATCAGTTTGCTGGCACGCCATGTGTGTGTCCTAACACCGCATTTTTGGGAGCATAGAGTTACGAGAAAAGTTAAAAGTTTGCAATTTTTTATCGCAACTTTTCTCGTGTACGCTCCTTCTGAGAGGAAAAAGTTGCGCAAAAAGTTTGGATACTCTTGCTTTTGACAAAAATCGTGCGATCTGGACCAAACGTTTACGAACCTTTCTCGCAACAAGTCGAACAATAGTTTCGCGCCGCCGCCAATCCGCGTCAAACGCCTACCCCTACGACACGCGTAGACCCCCTCTCCAGCTTCGATTGGAAGGCACCGTGTTCATCGGTATCTCGACGAAACTAGACGAGTTGCCTCATGCATGGCATCCGGAAGGAGGCGATGCCATGGGCTGTTGGGCAATGCCCAAGTCTGCCTCCGTGAGTTGCCGAAGGCCCCGGGAAAAACATTTTGTGTTGACGCACGAATGTCAACGGCCATGAGCGGCTAGTGCAAGTTCGGTGTTTTCGACCGCCACGGGTGTGATGTTCCATCGATAACTTTTTGCAGGAGGAAGCAACAGCGATAGCAATGCGGGCGGGAGGTAGTTTTCTGCTCCACCCCGTGCCCAAGGTTTGGTACCGTGGGGTTATCGTGCGCGTTGGGAAAAAACGAAGTTGCTGACCCGACAATACCCGAGTGTGATTGGTTCAAGTTCGCGTGCTCCCACAAGAAGCTGTGTAGATACCATTCCGTTTCTTTTTCTTCCTCCCATACCATGTATTTTCCTCTTCGAAATATGAACTCGTCACACCTAAAATGTCTCGTTCTGCCTGCAGTTGTGACGACGAGGCCTACTCGGAAGAGTTCACGGACGTGTGCATCGGAAACACCGCCGTCTACCGGGTCAGCTTCGTGGATGCGGTGAGATAGATTGCTGTCCGCGGATGCCCTAAAGAGGCTGCGGAGGGAGGAATAGTCGTCACACTGCGGTTCGATATTTCTTCTCACATCCACCTCTGGAGTTTATTATTTCCACCGAGGGCTGAACAAGTCAAGTAGCAGCACGTGTTGACGAAAGGATCAGTCCATCTTGTTTTTGCTCGGAATTTCTTGAGGCGGCGTGACGGACGAATTCATGTACCAATGCCGACCTCTCAAATTTGGCTTCCGTAGGCAAATGGATTCGGCCAGCGAAGTCGAAGCGCCAATGCATCAGCTTCAGTATCAGGGCGTGTGCCCCAGCCATGTATGCGTTGAAAGGACCGAGGATCCGACGGGGCTGAGAGCTGTTTTCCGTGAGAAATCGATATTTGAATCAGTCCCCTTGTTGCTCCAATACCATGAGGCCCCAATCAGGCTCTCTGGTAGGGAGTCGGTGTTCTGAACTTGTTTTCGCGATGGATTCTAGTGTCGTTTTCAGACAAATATTGGCCATATTAGCGTAGGATGGTTGGTCGCTCTGGGTCTGTGCGTGGGCTCGTAACTAGCCTGCGAAAAATTTCATATCGCTGCCGACGATCGACCTGTGCCATTTGGCGGGACTGCTGTGAGCTCTGCATCAAACATTGTGCGCTCAAAGGCACAGACGTTTCACGTACCGCCTCCCATCGATCGCGGTGCGTGTGTTGGCCGGTGGAACATTCGCAGGTGTTCTTCGCGTTGATGGCCCTGTGCGCGTGCTGCTCTCCGGTGTTCAACCACGGCTTCTGGGGTTTCAAGTTCATGCTGTGGGCGGTGCTGATGATCGCGACGCTGTTCATCACGAACGACGTTTTCGACACGAGCGGTTACGTGTGGGTGGCGAGGATAGGCGCCTTCATCTTCACGATAATGCAGCAGATTGTCCTCATCGACCTGGCCTACAGGTACGTCCGTCCGTCCGTCCGTGCTTGCTGAAAATTGGGTAGGTGTGTTTTGTCGAGGGTGTTTGTATATCTTCGCGCGTTCTTCCGGCTACCCCGCACCTGAAAATGATAGGCCTAAAGAGGCGGCGTCGGAAACAGCGGATGGTCATGGCCGGTGCGTGTGAATATATTTGTTCGGGTTTGCGGCCAGCTAGACGGTCGCATGCATTGCTATTGCCAGCCTTTGTTAGTTCATTTTTTTGCTCTTGATCGTACTCATTCGGCATCGTTTGTCCGTGCCGTGGGGATGGTGGTAAAACGCTTTTTGGACTCGTCTGTCTGTTTGGTGGCTGGGCATGTGTCAGAGAGAAGCATGGTATCGGTACCTTGTCTTTGACCCATCATGCAGTAGGCGCGGATTGCTATTTAAATTGTCTTCGAAGGTATCCACGTCTAATGCATACGTTGTCGGGAGGTGAACGACATGCCTCGCAGTCTCGCCTCCGTCACTGGTGTGCTATGCACGAGATATCTGTCGATCACGGACGTCATTTTTCGAACATCCCGCACCAGCAGCAAACACCGCATTCGCCGAAACCACCATCAACCCCCCCCCCCCCCCCACCCAGGATCAACGATGGTCTGGTGGAGAAGGCGAGCGAGCACGGCGACGACAGCGAGGAGGCCAAGCCATACCTTTGCGCCCTGCTGACGGCCAGCGGGGTGCTCTACACCGGCTCGCTCTGTGCCATCGGCGCCATGTTCCACTACTTCCAGGGGTGCGCCGAGAACGAGCTCGTGATGTCGCTGACCCTGATTCTCGCGGTGGTGAGTCTTCCAAGCGAAGCTGGCCTGTTGCTGTAGCGCCTCTGTGAGTTGTTTATGTGTGTTGGGGCGTGGTGGTGGTGGCGGTGCCGCCGTTGCTGCAGCTGCTACGACGAAGGGACGTGTACGTGTAGGTGCATGCTATATATTTGCCAAAGGTTGCGTTAGTTTGGTTGGGTGGAAGGTGAAGCTCTTGCATGTTCGCGGCTGAACCGCTGTCATTTTTGGGTCACGCCCGGATTTATTTCCGGATTTGGGTTGGGTCGATAACACTGGTTGTGATTGCCTACCCTCGCCTGTCAACCTCTTTGCCCGGCTCGCGTCGCCCCCTCTTCTTTGCTCGCGCCCCATTACGCTTTTTTTTGTCCGGAATTTCCGCCTTCGATCGCAACAGGCGATTACCGCTCTCCAGCTGCTGGGGGGCGAGGGAAACCTGCTCGCCTCGGCGGTGGTGACCTCTTACGCCACGTTCCTCTGCTTCTCGGCCGTTTCGAAAACGCCAACCTCTTCCTGCAACCCCTTCGTCGGGGAGAGCAACACCACGGTCGTGCTCATCGGCATCGCGCTCACTGTGCTGTCGCTCTTCTGGTGCGTCACTGTTTTTTTTTTTTGCTGGCCTTTTCTCTGGCGTTTTTTAGGGCAGCAGGGTCAAAGCTGTGTTGACCTGTTTGCGCTCTTGTGTCCGTTTTGGTCTTTATCGAGCTCCCTCCTTCCCGTGACTCTTGCCCTCGTAGCGACCGCGCAGCATGAAGTCGTGTTACCTTCCCAGATGTCTCCGAAACTAGCAAGGTAGGGCATAGTCCCCAGAACACCCGTTTCCGCTTTGTAGGCGATGCCACTGTGCTTCAGAGGCAACCCCCCCCAATAGCAGCGGTGGGTTAGGGAAATCATGAGCAGTAAGGGCCAAAGTCCCATCCCATAGCGTATCGTCGGCTTCTACCCGGGTCTTCGCCGTGTGGGAGCACTGTGAGAGTTATGTGATATATCCCGCAACGCCTGCCGCCCCCGCCCCCCGCACCATGTTTGTGTTTGACGCATATCGTTGTAAGCCGTAATTTCCCGCTTAGGGTCCCTAATGTTTCTCGTCCTTGTTTGGTCCTGCTCTCTTTCCTCCGTGGCACTACAGGGTAACGCTGAATGCTGCCAGAACCGTGACCGCCTTGCTAGGTGGCCAGGCAAACGAGGTGACTACTTCACGGTTTTCGTTAACGTTTTGTTCGTGCGCTCTCGCTTTTGATGTGGGTGCATACTTGCACGTATCGTTTGCATGATGCCCCTGTCATGCGAGCGTCCTTCTGGTTGTATAGAATCGCGGATACTTGTTCCACAAGCGTGGCGTCTTCTTTTTCCCATCATGCTTGCCGTGTCTTTTTGTGCGCTTCATGACTGACCCTTGTTCTCGTTCATCCCCAAACGGGGGGTCGGATGCCTTTCCAAACGCAACCGATGAACTCGGCATTCAAGGTCGAAGAGGCCCCGGGCCCGGTTCAAGCGCCAGGCGGAGACGGAGGTGGGCCGCTCGAGTCTGGCGGCGGTGACAAGACCAGGCCGTTCGTGCAAGGAGCCGTTACCGCCCAAGACCAGGACGTGGGCGCTGGGGCTTCGCCGAGACCTGCCACCCCGGCGTCTGCCGGAACTCCTTCCGCCGCCCAGAGCGACGGTGGATTGGTGAGATGAATCGTTCCGATCTTGTTATTTTTCGGTCTTGGCAAGAGCTATCGTCTAGCATGCTACTTCCGGAGGTATGTTGTGTATATTGTCGTTCTAGTCTTCATACTTTCAATCTTGGTTTCAGACTTATGCTCTATCATGGTGGTGTGCTGTGTTTCTCGGTTGAAACTCCGCCGGCTGCGCTCGGCAAGGTAGACTAGGGGCCATGCCAGGTACGAACACTCAAATTCCTGTCGATGACCAAATCGTCTGTTTCTCAGGTAACGTATTTGTCAAGGTATTTGGACGTAGACATGTGAGCGTGCTTGACCATGGTTGCCTCGCGTCGTCAGATGCGATGACGTGGCGTCATGCAAGATTTGGACTTTTTGCGGAGGATTGTGCCCTTCTGTTGAGTATGCTTACGACATAGTGATCGGGTGTGCTTGGGATCCGTGTGAGTTGGCTTGGGAAAGCGTTAATCAAGAGAAAGCGAACAACGGAAAGCAACAACCTGCACCTGTAGTCGGACATGAGAGCTCTACACAGCGCCAACGTGATTGATTCTGAAGGTAGGGGTCAAATCCCACTACACGTGTTTGTTGTTGGGTCAAATAAATCCTTCCTGGCGTACTTCTGAATGGTTCTGAATGGTTCGGATTTCTCCGTAACTCGATTTACTCATTCTCGGGTGCTCGATCTCCGTATCCCAATCCATGCGCCCACCAGCGTTGCGTATGGCCTATTGTTTTTATCACCCCTCGCGTCTTCCTTGGCCTTCCGCCTCCCTATTATATTTGCTCTCGCTGACCCTGGCTATCTGGTGGGATTCAAGCGCCAGGGGCGGCGCATTTTTTCTTGTTTCACTCGTCGTTCCTTTTTTCGCGACCCTGGTTGGGAAGCTTTGCTCGCCACGAGCTTCTAGCGTGTCCAGGACCGGTAGGGCAACCCATACCTCCGACCTTGTGGGTTTATGATCACACTAGACATTTTCCCACGTTTTTGTTGTAGAGCCGGTAGAGTCAGCCCCGCTGTATCCCTTGTGGTGATCTTGCATTTGTCCCTGTGAATTTCTCCCCTCGCAACCAGGGCTGGAGGTTCAACGTTGTGATGGTGCTGATCTCCATGTTCTTCGGAATGATGCTGACGAACTGGGGGGACATCAACGAGGACGGCGAGTCGAGCGACCCCAAAAACGGATGGACGGCGATGTGGCTCACCACCACGGGCCAATGGGTCTGCTACATCATCTACGCGTGGACTCTGGTCGCACCTCTCGTGTTCCCCGACCGGGACTTCTCGTAAAACAAATTCGAAAAAGAAATTCCCAGTGAGAAAACTTGCCGGGATATGTGGACTCTCGTAGGCTAAATACATGGGATTTCCGGGCGGGGGTTGGCGTGGCGGGTTCGGGCTGTTGAGCGAGGACGGCGGCTCTGCTGAGCCACAGTTTCCAGGAAAAGCTTGTGTCGTTGAGGTTGTTCAGGGTGGCTGGTTGATCATGGTTCGGGACAGTTGAAGACAAGCGCTGGACAATCCATGTTTTCTTACAAGTTCTTGTACGTTTGATGTAGACATGAACTGGCCGAAACTCCGGCGCACCGTGTTTGGATTGGGTTTGAGTTGGGAGAGGGTAGGCCTCGTTGTATACCCTCACCATGCAGATGACTCTTGTACATAAGTGGTTAGTTTGGACGCTGTTAGCCGCACAGAGCTCCTCAACGAGAGAAGCGAAGGTGGGGGGCAAGGCGGTTGTGCCTTGGCATAAAATGAGTGGACAGCGTTTTCTTTTTTTTCAATTGTGCGGGGTGGGGGGGGGAAGCGTAGATTGTATCCTGATACTCGAGAGTGTTTTTCTCGCGAGTCTATGGTTTTCGCGTACTCGGGGGTTTCCTCAGATACGACGACACAATTGGGTATTTTGTGCAGGGAACAAGCATCAGCCGCCCTCCTATATGGTGATGTTAGAGTTCTCTTGTTTTGTTTTCGGGCATGGGTCGAACCTTGTGTTCTTGCGATGTCCTGAGGGTAAAATGGTCGTAGCTTGTTTTGATGTTGGCAACACTTGTTGTAGCGCAATGCGGAGGTGGATGTGGTAGGAGGGTCCGGCGATAGACTTAGACGAGTCTGAAGCTCAAGCGCTGTTTGTTTTCGAAGGCCGGGGATGGCTTTTACCCGTGGCACGCCTTGATGTCTTAGAGGGGATGATTGCTTTCAATCATTTCACTTGTTGGAGGCGACGTGACGCTCGACAGATTTTGCACAATGTAACGAAGATTAAGCATTACACCTGTTGCGTGGGATGCGGCAATATCTGCTCGCCGCAAGATATGTGCACGTGGCCGTTTTTGTGCAAAGATTGGGCTTTTTTTTCTTCACTATCAATATGGCAAAAGCATATATTGGTGAGCATCTGTGACAATCCTCTAGCGTGAGGGTTAACTCGAGCATACAGTGTTGGATTTTCGCTCCGGGCCTGTTGCGTTCTCAGCGTTTGTCAAGGTCGACTATGGCTTCAAGTACAGGACGCTTGTCCGGCTGACTTGACGCGAGTATGTGTGTGGAAGTAGAGCTACTTCGAAGTCTAGAGGTAGGGGGAGCTGAATCCTTCTCCCCAAGAAATTCAAAGCAAGGAGAGGAACAACATAGGTGCGTTGTGGCCTTCCGCCTTCTCACTTTCGATGATCACAGCTGGTGACACCCGCAAATTGGGGTCCTCTGCGTTCATTGGTGGCGTCGTGAACGTTGAATGTGAAGTTTAATACGTTCACATTGTACCTTGAACAGTAGGACGTGTTGGGGTGTGGCATCATGAGGTTGTCGATTCCCGGCACAATTTGTATCTCTCCATGCGCCCGCTTTGAGCATCGGCTGATAATCTCCGCAGAAAAGAGAGATCGAGATAATGGCCCACCTATTGGCGATGAACCATCAATATGCATATGGGCCCTGAACGAAACTCAAACAGGCCAATACCTTCCTCATTTGTCTTCAACGGAGCAGCTTGGGTGGGTTCATCATCGACAACCAACCCCACGACATGGAGACTAATCAAGTAGACCCATTTTTCACTGCAGAGATCGTGCCAGCCTCTTTGCAGTCTAGCTAGCTCTGGATATCCGCTAAGAATGGACTGCCCTTGCGGCGACCAGCCGGTGGATGCAGGGCTTCTCAGGTGGAGTGGAATGGCCGCTGATGCCGAGTTTTGACACCCGCCTAGATGGCTGGCCAGGATGCAGGCCGCAGACGTGATGGGTTCACCTTCACGCCAGTGCCCGCGTAAAGGGCAACCGCACATTTCTCTCTTTCCTGCGGTTGAACGTCTTTAAAGATGGAGAACGGAACCACGGAAGCAAGCACGGCAGACCTCAGCTTTCACATCAGGCTTTCTCCGCAACGCGTCACACGTCGTAGCGACCTTGGCCACGCGACTCGGGCAAGAGATTGACTGAAGCTGGAGCCGAAGGATAGCTGTTCCAGGGAGGCCGGCCATTCAACTCCGGCGATTGGTTGATCGAAAGCGTCGCCGAATGAAATCTGCTGCAGGGGGGCCGGCCACGCGATCCCGTCGATCGGCTGGTTGAAGGAGTGGTCCAGGAAGAGGTGCGTCAACCCTGGTGGCCACGCCACTTCATCCAGTGGGTGGTCGAAGTCATAACCAAAACGAAGATAGGTCAGAGACTCCGGAAGGGCAACCGGCGCAAGAGGGTGATTCCAGCTGCAGCCCAGCTGCAACCTCTGTAGTCCTCTGGGAAGCGATGCAAGCTCCAATGCTTGACTGAACCGGCAGCCGAACACGAGTTTCTTCAGATTGATTGACCACTTCACCCTGTTGACATCCTGGTCGAACATCGGGCCAAACTCCAATTCTTCGAGGCCAGGCGGAAACACCACCGACTCGATGGGCTGATCGAAGTGGAAGCCGAACACGATTGCCCGCAAGCCCGCAGGCCAGGTAACCCCAGTCAGAGGGTGGTTGAAATGCTTCCCAAACGAGATCTTCCTGAGGCCTGCCCGCCACACCACGTTCCTCACAGCGGGCTCGAAATACTCCCTGAATGTCAGCCAGTCAACGCGCATGGGTGGCACGCCGTCAGTTCCGACCCTCTTCCCTGTAGAGCTCGTGGTGGTCCAGAGGCGCTTAGGGGTTCGCCTCACCACTCTCAAGTGAAACGCGGTACAAGCTCGGCTTTCACTGCAGATGGAGAGTGACGCGAGCTGCAGTTGCTTCACGGACTTGAGGGTAGCCCACTTGGAGAGCATAACAATCTTCAACGCGTCGGACAGGCGAGGGTCCGTTGCAGTTCTACTTGTCTTCGAAGAGTTGCTGCGTCGTGCTCGTGCGCTCTTTCGTCCTCGTCCACCTGATGAGACGATTTCGGAGAAATTGGATGTGATGTGACTACACAGAGACGCTTTTGCGATAAAGGACCTCGCCGAGTTCTCGACAACGCTTCACTTTTGTGGCAACCCGCGGATATCTGGATATGGAAGGAACGACCAGATGAATGGTCAGTACCCTTAACTCCTATGAAATGCTGTCTGTGTGTTGCTACGTAGCGTGCTGCGATACAAGAGCTGTACAGTTTCTAGATACTGACCTGGTGAGCAGCCAAATTCACAATTTCAACATTCACAGCAGTATACAAGATGCATGTGTGGGTGTCGTTTCACAGGCAAGATTGGTCTGAACAACATCAACGTTATTTTCATCTGGATCATTCCCGTGGGATTGGCTTGACTGTCACGGCAGGACTGCAGCTTGCCTACTTGCCCTGCGGTCCCACTACTGCTGTAGGCTGAAGTCCCGGCCTCTCGCTTACCAGTACCGGCAGCACTGCGGGTCTCCACTCCGCGCGCAGGCTCCAGGCGGTGACCTTGGCGTTTCTTCGGGATGCTCTCGGCATCCGCTGCGGCGGCGACATGGTGAGCAGAGCGAAATTCGGGCGGCTGGCTGAAGGGAGATCGTGACGAAGAGGGAGCTTGAGGCACGGGTGCGAGATTGGTGAAGTCTTCGCGCGGGAGAGAGGCTGGTGCCGCCATTTCTTCCGCGACACCAGCATCAACAGCGTGGCGACTCATGACCACGCCCATTCACCGACTCGGGCCCTTCTGTTTCTGAGGGTTTACTACTGCACTTCACGCAACGGAGAGAGACAAGCAGCAGCAGCAGCAGCAGCAGCAGCAGCAGCAGCAGTAGCAGCACTGAGGTGTAAAGGCGACCGTGTGTGTGTTTCTCGTTCTCTCTCCCTCTCTCGCGCGCGAACACAAACGCCAAAACATGTTGTGGAAACCCCTCTGCGTGGGCTGCGTAGACACTCGTCGTAAGCCTTCTGTACTGTAGACACCCCGTACATCCACACCACACATCCCGACCCTCCAACATACGATAGCCCTCGGACCAAAACAACGCCTTGGGTAACCCAACTCAACTACTGAACATGGATTCCACGCGGTCATGGTACCGGTCAATTCCTCCGCCCCCTGCAACCCTCGTCCTGTACAATCCCTATCCGTTATTTTGGTGCTCGCTACTTCAATGGACCATCGCCATTGGTGGACACAAATACCCCAGTGTCAGGGTGGCGGTCGCTTCTTACGGGGAGATCGTCGTGGGTCGCTCGAAGCCCGAGTCAGGTTCGGCTACACGGCACGGGGCGTGTTAAGCATATACGGCGAGACTGCTCGCCACAGGTATCGCCCGATTACGTGCCTACTGTACCAATCTGCACATGCCAAGGCATGGTCGTGCTGCCACTGCGGCAAAAAGCCGCTTCTCTTTGAAAATAGAGCTAACGCATGTTTATCGACGATGTTTGCTGCTGTTGCTGCTGAAGAACGTACCCGAAGGCAGGAAACATGTGCTGGATCTACCACTTGCAACCATCAAGGCGGCCTTCTTCCCCACGATTGTGGAGGCAGCGGCCAAGCTCGACGCCACAGCGGCCAAGCTGCGCTTACTGTATTGGTGGGCTCTGCTGGCGACGCCTCGTGTCATATGATGCGCACGACTTCCTGAATGAAAGAGGAGTGAAGAGCAAAAACATAATGACAGGGTGATTTCATTCCCAAGCAGCGGCAGTGAGTTATTGCACCATTTTCCTCGACGTGCCATATTTTCTCGACAAATAGTCCAGTTTATGCAATTTGGGGGGAGGGGATCCCCGAGCTATGTAGTACTCAGCCTCACGTACGAAGATATGTTCAGAGGTTGTCCCACGGGGCAGGCTCGCACACACCGCGCTGGCTGAGGTTCTCATAGTTGATGTGCAGGGTTCAACCCACCCCGAAGCCATTCAACGTAAGAGTGTCGGTTGCTGAAATACCTATTGAAGGTAGGACTTGAACACCGACTGCATTTCGAGATGACTATGCGACGAAGTAAAGTTGTTGAAACCGAATGAAGTGTGTCGTTGAAACTGGCCCCTCTGCGGGGTCGGGGTTCTCGGAAACCGTGAACGCCAAAACAGCTTCAAACTCATGTTATCCTCACGTGCTGAGGTGCGTGCAGTCTTCGGACGAGACGAGTAGCGTTCACGTTGCGGCCACGAAAACCATATTGCGATACTACTGCGGTCGCCCTACGTATTCATCATACGGGTAGGTTTGTGGCAATACAGAAGCCCATTTTGGGAGCCTCTTGAGAGTTTACGTGGTCGTGGACCCACGAAACTTGCGTCAATCAAAGATGACCATGTCGCACCGCTGGACAATATTTCCCTGGCGCGCTATTCATTTGAAATCAGAGTGCTGGCCGGCTTGACTGGGCTGTGAATGTCGTGGAGAATGAAAAATTACCGTGAAGATGAATGGGTATTGGGGGGGGCAGCATAGGAAGGATCGGAGACATTTCCAGGTGGCATCTTCCAGGCTGATAGGTAAATCGATCCAACGGGCGAAAACCTCGGGGAACTGCGAATGCACCGCAACGCCTAGCAGCAGGTTGCGGGCAGGGAATGCTCAGGTCCCATCTTCGTGGCTTGCCGAGTGAAATTAGGCACATCCAGGCAAGGCCAGGTAGGGCCAGGTAAGTGCATCTTTGGGGAAAGGAGTTAGATTGGAAACATACAGCAACAGCTACAACCACAAGAACCACAACGCGATGACAATGACAAGTACGCTAGCTATATTGGTTTGCAGTCGAGGTACGTGAAACTTGGTGTAGAGTATATTCTCATAAAAAATTGGATTCACAGGATTCCATGTGAACGCGCCAATCATCGCTTCGTGCGTTGGTTTTCCTCGCCTCAGCCGGTCGATACTTCACACTGTGGTGCTACGGATTCTGTTTCTACCAGAATGACCTCCTGATCGGTCCGTCGCGAGGTGATCATCCGGTCCATTCCATGGTTTCTGAAACTTGTTCTGTTGGATCGTCTTCGTCATTGCACCCTCTTGGTTTCCGTAGGAACGTGTGTCTCAATCAGCTCGTGTCTGTTTGTTACGGAAATTTCACGTACTCTTTATGTCCCCCCAGGGTAAGGAGGTGAAGCACATCTGTGGGAAGGCAACATTTCGTGAGAACACAGACAGCCAAAAGGTGTAAGGTAATAACAGTCTCGCCATTGAAAGGTATGCAAAAAGTCATGCCTGATCGTCTGACCCTACGTTTCAGACAAAACGGTGAGTATTTTCTCCCCCCGCCAGATGTGAAATAATATTTCATACAATAATCATGGCTTGAAGTTGATGACTTCATAACTGTATGCATCGAGCCAGTTGAAACGATCACAGCATTACAGGGTGCATAGAAAAGAAGAAGGGGGGTTTTGGCCCATATGGCAGCGACTTCGCCTTTGGGAATGATGAAATTTGGTAGCAGCAAAACGACGAGAGATGGATCGATCCTGCAATTGGAGGATCGGAGAAGAAATACTTTCATAAATCTTGATATGTTTGTAGTACATGGTGCAGTAAAGGTTGGTTTCCGAAAAGGTCGGTAGCATGGACTGTCGCTAGCCCATGTATGGCTTATCGCTCCAACGTAGAAGAGTACGCATAACACTATTGCCCTGCACGACTTGCTCAGGAAGACCCCCGAATAGCCAAGGAGTCTTGATCAAATTGGCGAGGCAAAAGAGAGACACGATAAGCTCGTGGGCGAGAGACCTTCAACAGGAAGAATACAACTTCATACTTGCGTTGGCGACTCTTGGTAGCAGCCCTTACTGAAAATATTTCATTGAGGTATTGAGCTTTTCTGCAATATCGTCTCACCCCCCTGTGCAATATTTGATCCTACCCATTACGATGAGATCTCTTCTGATATCGGACCCCCGTTTATTCCAGGCCTATTCCGCCGGAGCTCAGAAACCTGGCGCAACTAAAGAAGCTTTGCCGGCAAGGAAACCAGCCACAGGGTCGTCGAGATGAACAAGTTCCAAGGTGTCCCGCCGATGCTCCAGTTCTATAGGTTTTTGAGTACGTTCTAGAATCTGAAGAGATCTTTGGGCTCTTCTGCAGAGTGGTAGTGTGGTCTGCCGCTTGCAGGCCCTATTTTTCGGAGATCGTGGAAGTCTAGGCGCTTTGCCAAAAGTATTCCCCCCCCAACATCAGGTACGCGGTGAGTCACGTAGTGAGTCACCACGTAGGGCGATATTCTCCACTGAAATTTCAGGATTTATCCAACAAAAACGCTTGTCACTACCGTAAGGGTTCTAGAATGCGGAAAAGGAAGCCGTATTTGGAACGTGTTTATTCCCCGCTAAAGTTCTTAGCTTTGCTTCCGCGTGCAGGTCACATCCCACCGAGATCTGACCTCTCAGCGAGCTGCGGGAACTGTAGCTCTCCTCCAACCTGCCCACAGGTGACTTTCCGTATTTGGTGAATGGATAAGAGTCTTCCCAAACCGACAATGCCATCCGTAGACTCCGTCAACGCGAAAAGTGTGTTCTTGGGAGGACATCCGTGTGTTTTGTTTTGTTTGGTGTCGCTGGAGGTGCTTCGTTTGGCAACGGCAATACGGAATAACATATTTGAATGACACATCAAGGCTTTAGTGTCCAATATTTCAAATCATTGCATAATGCTTTCATAAAAATGGTGGGCGTGATGGAAATGGTGGGCGTACCACGTTGTTTTTACACTTCGTTGTACCCAGCGTCGTTTAGAATTCTACTCGGTGCATGGGCTCCACCGGATTTGCTCGTATTTTCGTGGCCGGAGGTGGCCATCGTGTGCAAGGGTGGCCATGCGCACATCCCAAGAACTGGGAAGGCCAGACGGTGTGTCATATGTTCCTCACAAAGAGAGGCCGGCAAAAT